TTTAAAAAAATCTTTAAAAACCAACTGCCCATAAAGTTTTAATGCATCTGTTATTTTTGCATAAAACATTTTTATAAACATAGGCAACATGGTATTGTGTATGTGTGTGTGGCGCGGAGGAGGAGGGGGCTGCCCCACATGTTTTCCCGAGAATAGTCCTGCACATTGAGTTTCATATGAAAATTTTCATGTTAAGTCGGTTCGCCCCCTCCTCCGACTTACTTTTTAAGTCACCTGAGTAAACTCTGACTTATTGCTATCTGTTATCGTCCGTCATCATGCGTTAGCATTTGAACATTTTTAGCTTCTTCTCAGAAACCACTCAACCATGCACAAATTTAAAAATCTTCTTTTCTCCCCCTGTATATAAAGCAGATAAACTAGGTGCATGGTTATGATGATCAAGGGTGCCTCTTCCAAAATTGAGAAAAAATTCTTTAAAAATCTTCTCTCCCCCTGTATATAAAACAGATAAACTAGGTGCATGGCTATGATGATCAAGGGCGCCTCTTCCAAAATTATGAATATCTTGGCCCATGGGTAAAGGGTTCTGGTGTTAGGATGGGGATCTATTGATCATATACCCGGTAATGAAAATACTTTTAATTCTTTACAAATATTCTCTCCTTTTGTATAAAAAGCAAATAAACTAATTGCATGGCTATGATGATCAATCGTGCCTCTTACAAGATTGTGAAATTTGTGGCCCCAGGGTGAGGGGTTCTCTGGGAAAGGGGAGGGGACTCTATTGATTATATAGTGAAAGTGCATTATTTCTTTGAAAATCTTCATCTCTGCTCCTAGGTATTACGCAGATAAAACAAATATATAGTTATGATGAGCAAGGGCGCCTCTTCCAAATTTGTGAAATTTATGGCCCCGGGGACAGGGGTTCTGCTGTTCCATTGTATGGCGGGGCTCTATTGATTATACAGTGAACGTGCATAATTTCTTTGAAATCTACTTCTCTGTCCCTGGGTATTTAGCAGATAAACCAAGTATACAGTTATGATGAGCAAGGGCATCTCTTTCAAAATTGTGATTATCTTGGCCCCTTGGTCAGGGGCTTTGGTATATTGAATCTATAGTGAAAATGGATTATTTCCTTGAAAACCTTCTTCTCTTCTCCTGGGCATATAGGAGGCAAATAGAGTATATAAAGTTGTAATAAGCAGGGGAGTTTTTACCAGATTTTGAAATTCTGTACCCCTTTGGTCAATTTATTAATTTATACTGAAAGAAGTAATTCCCCTTTGCTCTTCACTTCTAGTAGTTAATCACAGTGAATAATGTAATTTAAAAGGTCCATTGAATAACAGAATTATACAAGAAATTTTATAATATTTAATACAAAAGTACTTTCTTAGTTTTTGATGGCCAGGAAAAGATTTGATTAATAAATAAATGAAAGTGGTACAAAAATACTATATATATTTGTACAATAAATAATCTTTCAAGACCAAGAGATGCTAATGAGAGGGGGAATATAATGTGTTAACTGATAGTGCTGAAGACCTATTGTTTTGTTTAGTCCTCATGAGGATAGTGAAAAATGGGGGAAAGTACAGGCAAATAAATAGATCAACTTTTAAGATTTGTTATTGAGTACTAAATTAATATTTTGCTGATCCCTGATTAACCTATTTCTCTTGCTTTTGGGCAACATAGCTTCATTTACAGCTTATTTTGTTTTAATCTATGGATCGTTACATTACACTCAGGTGACCGTTAAGACCCTTGGGCCTCTTGTTTGTTTTTGTTTGAAAGAGAAAGGAACTCCAAACTTAATCGATTTTTCCAAGTTTGGACACTTTTTTATGCCCCCGTAATTGAAGATTCGGGGGCATATAGTTTTTGCCCTGTCCATCTGTCTGTCTAGCTGTCTGTCTGTCTGTTTGTCCTCAAAAACTTTAACCTTGCCAATAACTTTTGATTGGTTGGAGCTATGGCTTTCATATTTCACATGTGTATTCCTTGTGACAAGACCTGTCTTTGGGTACCATCATATTTGACCTTGACCTTGGAGTTTGACCCACTTTTGCAAAATTTTATGAGACTTTAACCTTGGCCATAACTTTTGAACAGTTGGAGCTTAGGCTTTCGAACTTCACATGTGTATTCCTTGTGACAAGACCTTTCTTTGGGTACCAACATCTTTGACCCTTTGACCTTGAATTTGGAGTTTGAACTATTGTTGAAAAACCCTGGCCATAACTTTTGAACAATTTGTGCTAGGTCTTCCATATTTCGCATGCGTACTTCTTGTGACAATACCTTTCTTTGGATACCAACAACTTTGACCTTGGAGTTTGACCTACTTCAAATTTGAAAAATTTTAACCTTGGTCATAACTTTTGAACAGTTAGAGCTAGGGTTTCCAAACTTCACATATGCATTCCTTGTGAGAAGACCTTCCTTTAAATACAAACAACTTTGACCCTTTGACCTTGACTTTGGAGTTTTACGTACTTTTGAAAAACTTTAACCTTGGCCATAACTTTTGAACAGTTGGTGTTAGATCTTTCATACTTCACATATGCATTCCTTGTGACAAGAACTTCCTTTAGAAACCAACAACTTTGACCCTTTGACCTTGGAGTTTGATTTAATTTTGAAAAACTTTAACCTTGGCCTTAACTTTTGAACAGTTGGTGTTAGGGGTATCATACTTCACATGTATATTCCTTGTGACAAGACCTTCCTTTGGATACCAACAATTTTGGCATTGACCTTGACTTTGGAGTTTGACCTACTTTTAAAAAATTTAAAATTTGGTCATAACATTTGAACGTTTGGTTCTAGGGCTTTCACATTTCATGATCATGTGTATCACTTGTGATAAGACCTTCCCTTGGGCACCATTTGACATTGATCTTGCCGTTTTACTTACTTTGAAAAAAACCTTAACCTTCGCCATAACTTTTCAACGGTTTGTACTAGGAATTTAATATTGCACAGGTATATTTCTCGAGACAAGACCTTTCTTTGGGTACCAGCATTTTTGATTTCTTGACCTGGAGTTTGACTTGCATTTGAGAAACTTTAACCTTCGCCATAAGCTGCCATACGGGGGCATCAGTGTTTCACAAACACATCTTGTCTGTTTATTTTTACTTAATATTATTTTTGTTTTATTATTATTTTGAAATTAGTTTTTGCTTGTTTAGTTTTCGAAGCAGTTTTTTATTAACTCACCTGAGCCGAAGGCTCAGGTGAGCTTTTCTGATCGAAATTTATCCATTGTCTGTCGTTGTTGTCGTCGTAAACTTTTCACAATTTCATCCTCTTGGCTAATTTCAACCAAACTTGGCACAGAGTATCCTTGGATAAAGGGGATTCAAGTTTATTCAAATGAAGGGCCAAGCCCTCTTCCAATGGGAGATAATAACAAATAGGTGAAAAATTAATGGTATCATTTAAAAATCTTCTTCTCAAGAACCACTGGGCCAGGAAAGATGAAACTCATGTGGAATCATCCTCAGGTAGTGTAGATTCAAGTTTGTTCAAATCATGACCCCCGGGGTAGGTTTAGGCCACAATTGACAATCAAAGTTTTGCATAGGAATATATAGCAAAAATCTTTTAAAAACTTCTTCTCAAGAACAGCAAAGCTATGACAGGTCTTATCTATATGGAAGCATCTTCAGATGGCGTAGATTCAAGTTTGTTCAAATCATGACCCCCTGAGCTAGGGTGGTGCCACAATGGACGAAGTTATGCATAGGAGTATAAAGGAAATTTTTTTTAAAATCTTCTTCTCAAGAACAGCAAAGCCATGATTGATCATATTTATATGGAAGCATCCTCAGGTGTTAAAAATTCAGGTTTGTTCAAATCATGACCCCCGGGGGTAGGGTGTGGCCACAATGGACGATCAAAGTTATACATAGAAGTTTAAAGGATTTTTTTTTTAAAAATCTTCTTCTAAAGAACCACTAGCCAGGAAAGATGAAACATATGTGGAATCATCCTCAGGTACTAGTAGCGTAGATTCAAGTTTTTCAAATCATGACCCAAAGGGGGTAGGGTGGGGCCACAATGGACAATCAAAGTTTTACATAGAAATATCTAGGAAAAATCTTTAAAAATCTTCTTCTCAAGAACCATAGGGCCAGGAAAAATGAAACTCATATGGAATCATCCTCAGGTTGTGTAGATTCAAATTTGTTCAAATCATGACCCCGGGGGGTAGGATGGGGCCACAATGGACGGTTTAAGTTTAGCATAGAAATATATAACAAACATTTTTAAAAAATCTTCTTCTCAGGAATAGCAAAGCCATGATTTGTCATATTTACATGGAAGCATCCTCAGGTGGTGTAGATTCAAGTTTTTTTCAAATCATGACCCCCGAGGGTAAGGTGTGGCCACAATGGACGATCAAAGTTTTACATAGGGGTATATAGGAAAAATCTTCTCAAGAACAGCAAAGCCATGATTAGTTATTAACTATTTGGAAGTATCCTAAGGTAGTGTAGACTTGTGTTTGATAAAAATCATGACCCCCAGCTGGGGATAGGGTGGGGCCACAATTGATGAGTAAAGCTATGAATACATAAGAATATTTTTTTTTAAATCTTCTCAAGGCAAGCTAGGATTGGTCATATTTACATGAAAGCATCCTCAGATAGTGTAGATTCAGATTTGTATTTATTGATCTCTGATCATCCTATTTCTCTTGTTTTGGGGCAACATATCTTCATCTATGAATATGTTTTGTTTAAATCTTATATAATTCTATGGATCGTATTATATTCAGGTGACTGTAAAGGCCATTGGGTCTTTTGTATATTAACATATTGCTGACGAGCAGCTGCGTGGTGGGTACCTGTACATAGGTTTTTGAAGGTGTCCAGTGAGCCAGATGGAGCGTGGCAAGTTTTCGCCAGCGGAGTTAGGTGATTTTATGTCTTTGTGGAGAGATACAATCTTCCTTCTAGCTACATTTGTGGCTTCTCAAGAAACCAATAATAAAGTCAGATTGTTATGACTAGAGTAAAATGGAGACGGTTGTGTCTATGATATTTTTCGGTGTCTGTGCAGCCACTCCTTTGTGTTTGGTTGGGAGGGACTACATTGTTGAGAATTGTGTAAGGTATAGGTGTATCTTCGGAAGAGCCATACCAGAACCATGCCCATTGGGTCTTTCCCCTACTTATAAAGGGGTAACAGGATGTAGCTGGTCGAGCGAATCGGAATGCATTACAATTCCGGAGACGGGAAAAAGTAAGAGACATTGTTAAACACTATAAAATGCCAAGAGATTTGTTATTCGCACCAATATATCCGTATTTCTTATTAATAGTCATTGATCCCTGCAGTGGTAGCCCGTGTTTAAATGGGGGTAGATGTCTTTCTTCTTCCAATGGTCAGTCTTATCTTTGCTCGTGTCCTCCTGGATATCAGGGACCTCGATGTCAAATCGGTAAGGATTAAAAATCTATGTGTCAGTTTGATTTCATGAAATGTGTTGTAGCATTTATATTTGTTTACATATAAATCTGAAAGATGAAAACGAATGCTTGAGCAGTCCTTGTATGAACGGCGGGATTTGTTTGGATGGTAAGAATGGCTTCACGTGCCAATGTCCTCCAGGGGAGGGAGGCGTCCACTACACAGGACGACACTGTGAAACTAAAATATCCAAACGTGAGTTAAATTTTTTTTTTCAAAATCCAGTTTGCTTGTTTTCCGAGTACTTTATTGACATTCCGTGCAGTTTTGTGATAATCACTTCACTTCAGCAGAATGGAATTTCATGACAGAATAAATTATTCAATCTCAAAGACAAGAAATACAGATTATGCACCAAAGAGTGATTTATCTATAATCGACTTGTCTTCATCCTAATCTCCAGTTTAACCCACAAGTGGTGTGTAAGTGTTTGGAGATCAATATCCAATAGTTTACTCTGATTCACCTTGATATATATAATCTCTAAAAATAATTGACAAAAATATGTGCAGCACTCACACCTGAACGAATGCTATTGTACAAATATAGCCCTTTCAAGAGGTTGATCCATAGATATATCGACTTCCCAGAAAACCATATCGACAGAGAACGAAGTGCGAGGTCGATATGCTTTTTATGAAGTCGATATGACTTTGAATTGACCGAATGAAAGGGCTACATTTGTTATATTATTTTTTTTACAGAGATCGACATTGTAAAATTTGAAAGTAATTGGATCAAGCCACAAGTTTTCTCTCTTGTCATTTTTAAACACGAAGTGACTAGGGATCAAAACAAATTAAGCTGTTTAATATAATTGTGTTTCCTTTATACCGATGGAGTAATTTAGGGAATGTACCAATTTAAAAGGCTACATTTGTTTTATTATATTATATCAATTGATGAAAAACATATCTTATATGTTTTAATATAAAGTAGATCCTTATTCAAGGCATTGTTACATCTTTCCAATCATTACAGAACATCACAATTATATCAAAAGGAGTGGAATTATAATTTTTTGTCAGAAACATCAAGTCATATTAGACTCGGAATAAAATAGAGATGAGACGAATCTGATTTATACTCTTTTATGTTTTATCTTGAAAATTAACATTCTTCAGCATATTTGCATGACCCAGTCAATTAAAGACTCCATTTTGCACATTCCCTTCTCGATGTTTTACTCCTACGCTTTGTCGATCTTCAGTCTTCATTTTCTTTTTCCTTCCCTCTTCTCTTCATGCTCTACTCTTCCTTTTTGTCGACCCCCTCAGGTTTCATCATTCTTCCTCAACACGATTCATTCCTTACCCTTACACCCCACCATTAGTCACCCTCTTCCTCCTGGCTTCTTTCCTCGTCCTCCTCATTGTGTCACATAATACTATCCTCAACATAAGAAATGTTGGTCTGTAAAATCCCTTAACGATGATTTTCTGAGGAACTAATCATGTTTGGAAGTATATCAAAAAGAGACAGCAAAGATGGTCGATTGTATAAATAAAAAAAATAGAGGAAATCTTATTGTTGCTTTTGTAAAACAAAGTCAGAGGTTCAAAAGAAGATTGTCATTAATAAACCAAAGTAGGCCCATGGGCCACATCACTCACCTGAGCACATTAGCTAATTGACTAGGAAAAAGTAGAAATCAGTTCAGTATTGAAAAGTTTACGGAGGGGGGGGGGGGGCGTGCTTAAATTTACTCTACCTGGGGATGCTTCCATATCAATACATGTATTACTACTTGTGAGCATGGTTTTGCTGTTCTTGAGCAGAAGAATTTTAAAGATTCTTTCCCCTATGTATTCCTATGTAAAACTCTGAACGTTCATTCTGCCCCACCCTACCCACCGTAAAGAGGGTGTTGCAGAAACTCGCGATTATTCCCTAAATCGAGAAGGACGACGTACGAAGAGTTATCTTTAAATATAGATAATGCTACATAGATGACTTTATTTATACGACGGGTATGTCCAGCTTGTTATAAAAAAAACATTTCACATTTTACGTTCATTTCATGCATAGTTTTTTCCTAACATAGACTGGCGACCTGTAAGTAAACTTTCTTTCACATCTATGGTCACTGTCGCCATATTGCACGAGAAAAGTTAGAACGATAAAAAGCACAATTAATGGCAAGTGCACCTCGCACATCATTTTGAAAGATGTACTGTAGACAGCGTGAGTTAATATTCTTCAATATATAAAAATTTGTCCAATAATCACGCTGTTTATGCAATATCCAAGAAATTCCATTGAGTCATTTCAATTTAGGTGTGTCAAGTCAAATCTGAGCCACTAATTAACAGAACAATAATGAAACGAAATGCGTATGAAAAAATTAAATTATTTAAAATAATAGTACTTTATTTTTTAAGACATCGTCACTAAAAAAGTAACATTAAATATAATTATGTCTTATTAGTTTTAAATCACAATATCAAGGAAAACAATTTATTTCTGCATGCATTTGAAATATTACTCATTAACTTTCTGACATTCTCTCCCTCTCTCTTTCTCTCTCAAGAGAGATGTTACATTGTACTTCCATTATATAAGAATATATATATATATATATATATATATATATATATATATATATATATATATATATATATATATATATATATATATATATATATATACCGGCCATTCCAGGATTCGAAGCCATTCTTAGGTAAAAGAATCTTTGTATGGAGTCCACACGCTTTACCACTAGACCAGGTCCGACAGTGAAGTAATATGTGCTATTTTATGTGCATATTTTGCATTTAAGATGGATAATAATTTTTTATTCGATTTTTGTGATTTTCAAAAATATGCCTCTTTGAAACAAAAATAGGAAATTGCAGTTTTGAAGAAAAACCCTGTCTCTTTATGCGTATATCAAATTCATTCTGTTTCAAGGAGGCAATTTTTTTTAGAACAATGAGGATTCCCGTTTCAAAAACAGAAAAATTGACTTATTTTGCTATGACTAATTTACACTTCATTTAATGGCATATTGGAAGTCGATATGCATTTTCTAAATATTGTTCTACATTGTGCTGTATATACCGTTGTATCTGAAAAAAAAAAATAAGGCCGTTTTCTGTTACTTAATTTTTTCTTTTAAACTGCTACAACTTTAGGGAAAATAACAAAAGAACTGCAACACCCTCTTTGAACAAATTCGAATGTACCTGAGAATGCTTCTTATAGTAATATGACTAATCATGGCTTTGCTGTTCACCAGCAGAAGATTTTTTCAAAATGATTCCTATATATTCTTACGTAAACCTTTGACCCTTTGTTGTGCCCCCCCCCCCCAACCCAACCCTTGAGGGAATAATTTGAACAAACTTGATTCTACAATACCTAAGGTTGCTTCTAGATAAATATGACTAATAATGGCTTATTTGTTCTTGAGAAGAAGATTTTTAAAGATTTTTCCAATGTATCTGGTAACATGTGTCATGTTGTAAATTTTGAATTTACCATGTTGTAAATTTTGTATTTACTGCCACCCGGTAAATTCAAAATTTACAACATGACACATGTATGATCAGATTCTTACAAGGGATATATAGGTTTTCCTTTTACTCTGTGCGATTTAATGATTTAATGATTGGAATGATTATTAAGACAGCTCTGTCTGAGGGTAAATCACACAGTACTAATATTTTTCTCTGGTCTAGAGACGGGGACTGGGTAATGTACTACTTGCACTGTGTTTCTCCCCTAGGTTCCTATTCTAATTGATAGATAAGAACCGTGTGTCTCAATCTTCTTCAGATTTAACTACACCCAAAACTTAACATCAATTCTCTAGGATACATGCCATTGGTGCTTATAACTTCTATACTTTTATTTTGCTCGTATCCTTAAGTTCTTTATTGCCGATTTAACAACCAACTTCTTCACCTAGCTTCTGAATGTCTGACTTTCCCAAAGCTTTGCCTTGTATACCCTTTGGCTAGTCCATTCCAAGGGTTGTCAGGTCATTTCACTATTTGAAGTCTTCAATGCGTTCTACGCAAATGCCCCTTCACCATTAAACCTACATATTCCTATGTAAAACTTTTGCCCCCTGTTGGGTCTGCGCCCAACCCCCAGGGCCTGAGGGGTCATGATAGGAACAAATTTGAATCTACACTACCTGAAGATACTTCTATAATAATATATTAACTAATCATGGCTTTGTTGTTCTCGAGAAGAAGATTTTTAAAGACATTTTCTATATATTTCTATGTAAAACTTCGACCCCCTCTTGTGGCCTCGCCCTACCCCCCCCCCCCCCCAGGAGAAATGATATGATCAAACCTGAATCTAGAGTATGTAATGACGCTTTCATTTAAGTTTCATCTTTTCTTGCCCAGTGGTTCTTGAGAAGAAGATTTTTAAAAGATGCCACCAAATTTTTACTAATTTTTAATTACCTCCCCTTGAAAGAGGGCGTGGAACTTCCTGTGAACAAGCTTAAATCCCTTCACCCTTATTTTTATGGGGTGGCCATGGATATAAAATAATGCGAGATACTACCGCTTTATTGTCACAGGTACCGGCGTGGAATGGACGTGTTTGTACTGGTTATCTTGCATTATACCTTTGTTTACATTTTATTGCAGTTTACGTGTATTTGTGCTTGTGTACTACACTGACCTGTGCAGCTGTTTTAAGTTTCTTCGGTATCTTTCTCTCTTGTTGTGGAAGCTACGCTACTGAATGTTTTACAATAGCTTTGTAGCATGCGTCCGTCTACACAGGTGACAACTGATTACTCTGAATAGTGACCAAGTGAACGGCTTAGATATACATGTAGCGACTGAATAAAAAAAATATGGAGGACAAATTCCTTTATTGAATCGTGTTCAGTTTTAAGCATAAGGAATTGTAGTAAGGTTCCCCAAGTAATGCCTGTAAATAATATGTTTTAATCTCTGTTTTAAAAATATCTCTCTTTTTTATATCTTAAAATTAGTGAGTGAATCATATTCGAGTATGCGATAAGATACTCAGTAAACATGTTCTGATTTTTTTTAAATTATATATTTAATATCCTACTCTCTCGACAGGTTTTGCATCAGTATTTGGAATTAAAATTAGATTTAGAGTTTTATACATGTACGAGAGCTGTTCGGAAATTATTGAGACATTGTGTTGATTATTCTTTCTAATGAAAGTCTTTTGGTGAAAATTGGCATAAACTTTTGACTACTACTAAGAATCAATAAAAGCAAGAAATATTTTTCAAATATTTTATTTCTTCTTTTCAGTGATATATCAATGTGTCAATGGTATGGGGTACCCGGTCACGAAATCAGATATTGTATAAAATATAAGTTTTTTAGAATTTCGATCAGAAATATGTAGATCATAAAAAAATTAAGCACGGTATTGGAATCTGATTGCAACAACATATATATATGAATTTTGACTGCAAGGCATCCTTGTACCTAAATTTTTGTGTAGCGCTGTGGAAAACTTTTGTCCATACTAAACAAGCTGCTATATAAAAAAAATAATAATAAAAAAATAAAAACTTGTCCAAGGGTTTGTTTTTTCATTGGTATATTTTTTCTTAAAAATAATTCAACAAAAGTAAATACAAAGGCTCCGGACGACCATCAATTATTACGGACTAAATAATGTTGACCCGCGGGGCTATAATCGGTCCTTCATGATGCTAAGTCAACATGTTTATAACATTGGGGTAGCAAGAACACGAATTATTTATTTATTTTATTTTATATAAGAATTGATTAAGAAAGGAGAGATTTTAATTTCTAGAAAAAAAATTATTTGTGATTACAGAGAAAGAAGAGTTTGCGCTTCCCGATCGTTTCAACACGAGACGAGGTCTACCGTAACGGCTGGCGTAATTCTTAAGTGCCGTATTGGTGATGTCAATGGACAAATGCCAAGTTTATAATTTCATTGGAACTTATCTAATTATCCTGTTAATTAGGAAATTTGCACATTTTTTTATTTGTTCTAGATAAAATGTTGTCGTATATTCATGAATTTATCTCTTTCCTTTATGGAATAAAAGTAAATGTCTCGATAATTTTCGCACAGCGCTCGTTTTATAAGGAGTTATTCATTTAACATGTTCAATGTTTCAGTGTTTAAAATAAATATATTGATATGAAGCGTATGCAATCAAGCCAAAAGAATTTTTTTTAAATTTGAAAGTCAAAATGATAAACCTGTAACATTTTTACAAAACACAAATAATTAATAATTGAGTCCGTTTCTGTTTCCTTCCTTAGAATCACCGACGGAAATCTGTAATACAAACGTTTTCCTAGGTCCTATCTGGATAATGATTGTCAGACAAAGCAATAACGAATTCTAACAAGGAATCAACTATAATTAAATCAATGATGCCATCCTCACACTATATCCCTGCTCTGCAGACTGAGTGGTTTAACTAACAATTATGCTGTTTTCCGACACAGGTAGCAACTACATGTACCTAATAACACAACCTAAAAGTCACCGAGACACCTTTATTATTTTTACCAAGTCGCCGAGACACAAACTAAAGTCACCAATACACTATAATATTTAGCCACCGAGACACTAAGGAACTAGGTCCCTGAGATGAGTGGTCTAACTAATAATTCTGTTATTTCCCGATACAGCCCCAATAACCTACCCAAAGAAGTGTAACCAGCACTGAGCAACAACCAAGTAGACGATATATATACTATATATATATACTATTTTGCATAGATCTGCTTCTTTAGTACTGATTGGTTTATAATTCAATTCTAAACATTTGGTTGGCTGAAATGTCAACGCTGATTGGATACATATGCAACTTATTTGCAAATAAAACTTTTTTTTTTTTTTTAATTTTCTCTGAAAAAAATGCAAAAAAAAAAAAAAAAAAAATCGTATAAAATAATTAAAAGTTAATATCGGTCTTTCAATGCTGAAACCATAGTTTAAAAGGGATTTCTTAAAGATCTTTTAATTTTGGTGTGGCATTTCTCCTTAACAATAACGAGCCCGTGCCATGTTTACAAAACAGTCTACGTTCTACCGGGTGTGTTCAGTTTGTTAAACTCTACACACATCACTGAGCACGGATTGACAATACTGGTGAGTTGGTTTTGCTTTCTCACATTTCTACTCTGAATTTTCTGGATTATATCTTTAATTTTTTTTTCATTAATACAAAACAACATTTCTACTTTTCTTAAGTATTAAGGATAAGTTTACTTTGTGAAAGTGCAAGGATGTGTCAATCAAACGCGTCCCGAAATTCGTAGTTTCAATAATTTCCAGATAAAATAAGTTTTTTAAAATTATATTTCCGTGAGAAATGCAATAGCAACAAAAAGTCATGATATAATACAGAAAATCTGATAAAATATTAACTTCTGTGACTATGCCCCTTTAATTAAGAATATGTTTGATGTGAGATGATCAATTAACTCATGTATTTATTCTAAATTGGGCCCATTACACAATACAGACTGATTACTATTGAACATTAACTTAATGATCAATGAAATTATTATTTTGATAAATATATTCCTCCAAATTTTTAGATTGCGTAAGAAGGATTCCATTTGATTCTACCCGATTGTATAAAAAGACGAAAATTTATACCCAGGTACCACCACTTCAAAAGCTCAGTAAAAAAACCCCAACCTTTTCTAGATCTATAAAGCCCAGAGTGTTTATGGAGGCTTCGCCTCGGTCAATATTGATGTTTTCTGGTGAATATCAAACTACTAGTCTATGCACTATCAAAAGAGTCCATAATTGTCTGATTTAATTAGATTGTGATCCTCACATATTTTACTAAACACTTCCATTTAAGAAGTGACCAGTGGAATTAGTGTATGTTCATGCAATCTAGCCAGTTGTCATCATTGTTTTGAAAGCACCATTTTTATCTCAAAAAACGTTATTAATCTATCTACCCTAGAAAACAGGTTCAAAGAAGAGGGTACTTGTGAACTTGATAAAGGGAGAACAATGGTCAGAAATCACTTGATTAGAAAGGCAGTCAATGTTTTCCGGATATCCTGTGACCAGAAAAGTGTCACAAAAAGCGGAAGAACAGTACTTTTTTTGAACGAGGAGGGCCTGAATTTTGGACAATGAAATGGGAGCTGATTTCATCCCCCGTAGCAAAAATTGCATAAAAGTTTCATCAATATATTGAAATTCTAGAAGACAGTCTTAAGTAGCATTTCTGTATTTTTTTTTCTTTAACTAGTGGAGGATGTCTGCACACCCAATCCTTGTCATAATGAAGGCTACTGTTCAGGAGTAGGGGGGTCCTTTATCTGCTACTGTACACCAAAGTTCAGTGGACCCTTGTGTAACGAAACAATGAGTAAGTGTAAAATTGCAAATCACATTTATAACATATAGATCTGTTTATCTTTTACTCTCTGACAGGTGATGATACAATAAAATTGCTTGGGTTAATCTTTGTGTTTATACCAGTCTTTGATAGCAATAGGTAAACTAAGGATGGTAAATATGTAACTATAAACATTATAAAAGCTTTATTTTAATGAAGGTATAGGTAATCCCTGCTCCAGCAGACCTTGTTTGAACTCTGGAATCTGCAGCAGTGTGCGAGCAACTCAATTCAAATGTTTCTGTTCACCGGGCTTCACAGGGAAACAATGTGAACAAAATCAAGGTTTTTACATATCCTATCTTTAGCTTTCCTATATTAATTACCACTATAGGTTTAGTTTTTCTGCCTTCATTGTACGCAAGCTCATGAAGCTATCACACTAATGCTTACCAGATCCCTGCTCTATGAAGCCCTGTATGAATGGCGGCGTCTGTTTTCAAACCACTGAAGCCACCGTCTTTGGATGTGCGTGTCCAGAAAATTTCACAGGCCGTCTATGTGAGACAGGTAAAAGTCGTGAAACCGAAATATGATCCTACTTGAAAAGCTATTTTTATCTTGGTTCATCCCTTTTTTCCAATTCTGTCTTGCTTTTCTTTCCTTGTCGCTGTCTTTCCTTTTTATAGCTATTTTGATGCATCCATGCAGGAAGGCTCCGTGTAAGAATGGTGGTTATTGTACAGAGGTGGGCGCCACCTACAGGTGTAACTGTAGGTCGGGATATACGGGATCGGACTGTACTCTTGGTGAGTCTCTTCAGGTCTTCTTTCTCTAGTTAATCACGATGTAACCTTTGATGTCTTTAATTTGATTCTGTATTTTATTGATTTATCAGTGACGTCAGCCGTCATTTCTAGTCAGTGTGACAAAAGGAAGGGCTTGCTGCTACCCCACCCGTCTTATTGTCAACTCTACTATAACTGTAGCGCGCCGTCTGGTAACATTCCCTCCAGACCAAAGGAGAAGTTTTTAGACGAGTGTCCTTATCCTCAACTTTTCTCCACCACAAGCAGAAGATGTGAAGCTTTTAACCGGGTGGACTGTGGCAAGCGCCAGATTCTTTGGGATTTCTGTACGTTTAGCAATGTCTGCAATATATTCATAATAAGTTGATATAATAACTGGGAACTGGTGCTAAAGAATAAAAAGAGGGTGTTGCAGAAACCCGTGATTATTCCCTATATCGAGAAGGACATGTTTAAATACCCACGACGCATGAAGAGTTATCTCTAAATATAGATAATGCTACGTAGATGACTTTATTTATACGACGGGTGTGTCCAGTTTGTTATAACAAAACATTTAACATTTTACGTTTATTTCATGCATAGTTTTTTTTCCTTACATAGAATGGCGACCTGTAAGTAATTTTTTTTTTTTTTTTTTTTTTTTTTTTTTTTTTTTACATCTATGGTCACTGTCGCCATATTGCACGAGAAAAATTAGAACGATAAAAAGCACAATTAATGGCAAGTGCACCTCGCACATCATTTTGAAAGATGTACTGTAGACAGCGTGCCTTAATATTTTTCAATATATAAAATTTTTTCCAATAATCACGCTGTTGATGCAATATCCAAGAAATTCCATTGAGTCATTTCAATTTTAGTTGTTTCATATCAAATCTGAGCCACTACTTAACAGAATAATAAAGAAACAAATGCGTATGAGAAAATTAAATTATTTAAAATAATAGTACTTTATTTTTTAAGACATCGCCACTAAATAATAGCATTAAATATATGTCTTATTAGTTTTAGATCACAATATCAAGGAAAACAATTTAATTCTGCATGCATTTAAAATTTTACCCATTAATTTTCTGATATTCTCTTCCTCTCTCTTTCTCTATCAAGAGAGATGCTACATTGTACTTCCATTATATAAGGAAAAAAATATGTACATGTATATTACATGTACCAGCCATTTCAGGATTCGAACCCATTCTCAGGTAAAAGAATCTTTGCGTAGAATCCACCCCCTTTACCACTAGACCAGCTCCGACAGTGAAGAATCGTGTGCTATTTTATGTGCACATTTTGCATTTCGGATGGATAATAATTTTTATTCGATTTTTGTGATTTTCAAAAATATGCCTCTTTGAAACAAAAATCGGAAATAGCAGTTTTGAAGAAAAATCATGTCTCTTTATGCGTATATCAAATTCATTCTGTTTCAAGGAGGCAATTTTTCAGAACAATGGGGATTCCCTATTTGAAAAAACAGAAAACGAGACTTATTTTGCTATGTGACCAATTTACACTTCATTTAATGGCAAATTGGAAGTCGATATGCATTTTCTAAATATTGTTCTATATTGTGCTGTATATAACATTGCATCTGGAAAAATTTAAGACCGTTTTCTGTTACTTAAAATTTTTGTTTTAAACTGCTACAACTTTAGGGAAAATAACAAAAGAACTGCAACACCCTCTTTTAATATTTTTTTTTTTTTTTTTACAGTTTCCCTTTGTTTGATTTTATAGGTGATTACTGGAAACAAAAATGCAGGAGTGTCTGTAAATCTTGCTCTATTGACCATCCAAGTTGTATGAATAAGGCAGACGGGATCCACAGTAACCCCATGAAACCAAACAGCCCATATTACATGGCGTGCTACCAGAATAGGACTGTGTACGTCTCCGAGTGCCAGAGAGACAGATTTGGAAAGCAAATGGTATTTCATGAAAATAAATGTACTAGTTCATTTGATATTGCCAGAGCCGAGGGAGGGCGAAGACCAGTGTGTGCAGATACTGATACTGGAATATATTCTGACCCCGGGGGAGAATGTAATATATATTATATGTGTCAGGCAGGGGTGGCTAGGGTGATGCAGTGTTCTGACGGGAAGATATTCCACTACCAGCCTGGAAAGCCCCTGTGCCAAGAGCCAGAAGACGTATGTCAACCATGTGGAACTAAAGCATGGTATGGTAAATGCCATAGTTCTTTTTTATTACTGTAAACAGAGCGAGACAGATTTCATTCTTAGCTCACCAGAGCTAACGACTCAAGGGAGGTTTTCTGATCGAAGAGTGTCTGACATCTGTCTGTCTGTAATGTGTCGTTCGTCTTCTGTCAAATTATCACATTTTCAACTTCTTCTCCAAGTGTTGAAGCCCTAAAAGATTGGGGGGGGGGTCATGAAGAAGCAGATTCAATATTTTTTAAGACAATGGCAAGATGTATCATAGACAGAATGACCAACTTCCCGCTTGAGCGTTCTGGACTTGGCATCTCTACAGCGCCAACTTGAACCAATTTACATGAACTTGAGCTCTTAAAACAGCCCTTGAAATATTCGTATTCCTGAAATGTTTTTACTTAACTTTGCTATCTTTATCTGAAATCATTGATCCGCCCCTGGATCGGGTCAGTTTTCATTCTATAGTCCGCATGATAGGTGCCTATAGAGGCATTTTTTTCAAGATGCTATATTACATGTATTTACATGAAGCACACACTTTTGCAAAATAGTATGAACTCGTGAATCGACTGTGTATATCGCATTTTGTAATTTTGTGGATTCTCTGATATTTGGAATGATCAACTTAATAAAAAATGCTGCTGTTAACCAAAGACTACGGGACCAATTAATACAAAAATGAAATGCTGACAAAAGGGTGCTGTGAATAATTTTTTAAATCAAATTTTAAATGTTAATTACTAGTATACATCCCGTTGGAAAAGATCCGTGGTTCCATCTTCAGATGGACCCTCCTGAATCGGCTGTTTCAGCGCTGTCCACTACAACCTCCAGAGGTGCGTCGATTGGGGTGCTCAGGTCCCAGCCCGGAATCACTTGCCTCTCCATACTTATAAAAAATACTTAACACATGGAGGGTGTGGTCCCTGTGATTTTTCGTCCTGAACCACTTTCTCCACCGTCTCACCAGACTGTGTTGTGTTCTAAACCTGTTGATCTGATTTGCATCCCATCTTCCCCATGTTGATCTTAAGGCTTCGTTGATTCTTCCATACTTTCCCACAGCTGCATACATTTCCGTTGTTCAGAATCGTCATCGTTGTCCGATGCCTTGTTTCTCGGTTATCCAGAAAAGTACATAGGTAACGGGTAGTTTGTCAATTAAATTTAGAAAAAATATTTATAAAAGTTCGTTACCTCAAATAAGCGTCTATCCGTTTTAGCTGGGAAGATGCCAGGCATGTATATCATTTAGTGGCGTAACTAGACAAAAATAATGTGGTTGGTTTTCTGATTGCAAGGGGTCTGACCCAGCGGGTCAAAGTGGAAGGAACCCCTAGAAGATCCACAGAAATTGACAGAAATTAGGAGTGTTGGATTGATCCTGAAAGACGATGATTTAACAAATTATCTTAGAATAATGAAACAAATAATTATTGAAACTGAAATACGCGTATGTTCTTTCTTCAAAGAATTTTATATTTATTTATTTAATTTAAATATTTGTATTTTTGGTGAAAAAAAGTTTTTCAGCGACATGCTATGATTTCTATTGAAACAAGATCCATGCATTTCTTTGCAATAAGAGGTTTGTTTTCTTTTTATAATTTATATGAAAAAAATATTTCTTTAATACCTCATGTAATTAATTCAGAACGCTTATACAACTGAAAATTTCGTCTTGAAATTTGCAAATAAGTGAAGAGTTAAGACTTGCAGTGGAATAGGTTTTTGAACATTATATAATGTTAATTTCAAAACTCTAACTGCATAAAATAAATAGAGTTAAATATTTACAAAACCATGTAGGTACGATTAATCTTCAGGTTGAAATCGATCTTTTAAATTATATGATTTTACAACGGTATGTAAGCGACATAAAAAATTGTTATTTGGTTACGTTTTTACATGATACAGGATTTGTTTTTGGTTTCTATATGGAACTTGCGGCAATGACACGCATTTGGTATTGTCTCTCGGTTCCGCGAGATTTTGAATTGAAAACTATCGTTAACAGTTAACAGGTGTTTAGATTCATAAACTGTGTTTAGCAACTCTTGGCTATAGTTTACGAGTGTGAATTATAGTTTATGACGATAAACTATGATTAGCAAATGTGAATCATAGTTTATCTATCAAAACTATAGCTTACCATCGTTTTAGGTATAGTTTGCGTATGTTAAGTATTAATTACATTTAACTATAATTTACTACCAAAATCTATAAGTAACGAATGTAAAACATAGTTTATCTGATAAATATAGTGTCACGATTTGTGAAACTTAATGATTAACAACTCTTAACTATGAATGTAAACTATAGTTTACAAATGAGAATCTATATATTATCAGTAATTCAACATGTTCAATGTGCAAATCCTGTATAATAATTTCAGCATTAACATCCCAGATTTTTTTTTTCGGAAAAAATAGATAAAAGTAGTCAAGCAAGCTTTTGGAAAGTTTCTTGTGAAAATGCGGATGAAGCCCTATATTTAGTTTGTGTACATGATATATAATTATTATACGTAAATGTATACATTTTCAGTGATACAACACGCCAGTCCTAGGTGACAGATAGTAATTCCTGTCAGATTGCAGATGCCACAGGAAAAAACAAAGCCGGACATTTTTTATTGTGCACTATCGAATGTAAACCTTATTTTCAAAATAAAAGTTAAATATTATCATAGAGTGTCTACCAATAGTTAATCTGATTTCAAATAATGGGTTGGATGCGGTCCCTGATATTTAAATTATGGCATATTATGTAACAATTACTTCTTGGCCACTCTTTGACCTTTCGTGTAAAACAGGCCATACGCTTACTATGTCAAAGAAGACTGTCCAATATTTTCTTCACGTTAAATAAAATCGGGATCACCATGTCTGTGTTCCACGATGATTTCTCTGACCGCGTTATAACTCCAGCCATGTCACCGTGTCTAGCCTTTACCTGCTGCACCATGAATTTCATATTTCCAGGCTCAGGTAAGTTTTACACCCTGACCATCTGTCCATGCAAAAATTCCCCTCGATTTTTATCATACAACTGGCATAAAAGTCTTGATTCCATTGACAGAAAAAAATGCAACTTTCTGCATGATTGCAAAGGTCCATTTCGGGGTCGGTGGGATGGGGGTAAGAAGTATATGTTAAAATCCCTTAGTTCTAAGCTATTTTGCTTTTATTACAGTGTTTAAATAAAAATTAAATGGTACAACCCCACCCTCCCTCTCGCTGGATCGCTTATCATTCACTTTTTCATATTTAATTTCCTGGTGTTTGGAACAGGAACTATCGTGTCGGGGTTTGCTGCCCTTTGCTGCTCCATGAACGTAGACATGAATACTGGTGACCGATTGACCACGTGTATATGTAACCTGTCCATAGGCGTTCTACAGCTGGTCCTTAGCGGCTTTATATTGGTGGGTTGGTGTTGGAGTTGTGTCTGGGGACTCCATTACGTAGACATGTCCAGTAAGCATAAACATACATTCAGAGCTGTTCATTTTAACCAGGGACCTCTATAGTCCCTGTTTTAACAGTAGAAAATGTTTTGCAATGTTGTTTCACCAGCCCCTAAGGGTAAAATGACAATGAGAATGGAGTTTATGATTGATATTTACAGAGAAACATTATCCTGAGGAGTGGGGGCTGGGACAGACGAGGGAAGTCTGGACATCACAGCCGTCATCAATTGACCCATTATCGCCTTGTCACACTGACCATCAGCAGTACTATCCAATCCCAGTACCGCCCCCTCCATACAGCCCCCGTATAGATCCGCCACCACCATACGATACCATTGACGATCCACCAAGGTTATTTTCAATATCTGGATCTTGATTCGAATGCGATACGTTTTTCCAAGATCAAATAGTGCTGCATGGAGCCAAAAACAAGTCTATTTACATGTCAATATCAGTGTAACTCATATGTAATTTATTGTAATCCGATTGCCTGTTCAAAATCTCCTGAATAAATTCAGAGGTGTCTAGACGATATATTACACTGTATAGTTTGCATACTCTAGATTTCATTGGTGCAAATTAATGTACATCAAATGAGAGCTGGAGAGTTTCTACAGAACATTGATACGGCAGAATTATCTTAATAACTGTTTACTCATCCAACTGCAGCTCAATTATAAAAATATAATCTTGTATGACGTGTACAAACCAATAAATAGATGAAATTTATGAAATTTAATTAATAAAAGATTTAGTCCATCTTCATTTCTTTCTACAGCCTTCTCACAGGTGAATGTCAATATTTATTGAACCATTAATACAGGTTTTGTTGTTTTATGATTAAAAAGAAAATGTTGATTCGAGTCTGAAGAACATTGTAGAATGATTTATTTTGGCAATACCCAAATAAAATTGGTGGCAAACAAAGCTTAACAATATAAAGTAACCAGAAGTCTCTGATAAGATATTAGCTCCCTGGTTTGTGTTTATAATACATGTACATGTAGTAGTCTAAAAAGTTCTTTTTAGTTTTATGAATCCAAAACTGTAAAGTTGGCATTTTGAAAGAATTTCATGGCAACACCATCAAAATCTAAACTTACAATAACTGAATAATTTTGCATTTTGAAGTCATCTTGTTTTTTGTATACCTAGCTTTGCTGATTTTTTTTTTTTTTTTTACAAACAGAAGGTTGGATGACCTCAGTAAGATCTTTGTCCATTAAACCAATGATCATTCTGTATAAACATAGTTTTATTGTAATCTACCAAAAATCAATATCACTACAACAAATATAAGTAAAATATAATAAAACAAAGTACTGTAAAGACAATATATCATGTTAATTTCAACCTGATTACCTTAGAGGTTGGAACCAGGAATGGGATCAATTTTTATCTTAATATATATAAAAACATACTCCAGAAGAAGTAATCTTTTAACATATGAAATATACAATTGGGTACCACATTTCAAACTTCCAAAAAAAGTGGGCTTAATTTTAGAATAAAAATCAATTCATCATCAATTCTGCATATATTTGTTAAAATCATCAATTATTTAACAACAGTTGAATTTCCACAAATTATCTGCATTGCCTTATTCTTAATTTGGCTGTGGCTGATGATTTTTGCTGATTTATAAAAAGAAGTGTAGCTTCATGATTGGTCCAAGTTCAAGTTAATACATGTAGTTACACAAGTCATCAATTTTGGTTTGAATATATGAATGAATAAGATTTTTGCTCCAGTAAATACATACATGTATATGGGGTGTTTTTCTAATGCCAGTAATAGACAAATATAATTATGAAAGAGGCTATGTTGACAAGATGAGGGCTGCATAAATTTTAAATGACCAACAATTGTGACAAAAATTGATTTTTTCACATCTTTGAAATATTGCATTCACAACTACAAAGTCTAACTCTTTAAAAATATAACAAGATTTCAACATCTGATAAGGAAAAATGTCATAAGTGCAGAATCTACAATGTAACTAATAAGCTGTTTAAGACAGTATTATTAATTTTTTGCTTAACATACAAGTGCCTGCTAAAATTTCTTTTACAAAAAATTTTAAAATATGATGTATACTAAAATCATGTATAAAAATGCATCAAAATGAAATAATCCACAAGTATCTGATGTGACTAAAGCTCTATTGGTTTGGACTTACAGAGGAAGAGAAGGTGAAAATGGACTTGGAAAACTTTTTGTTGAGTTTTTACCTATCTAAAAAAAGTATCCTAATCATTTCTGAACTTGTGCCAAGATATACAGTAAAACATGCTTATAACGAAGTGCCAGGGACAGGCAATTTTGCTTCATTATGAGTGTAATTCATTATATCAGATAACTTTATAATGTATTTTAAGGTAATGGGGAATGAAAATCACTTCGCTATAAGTGTCAATTCATTATAAACGTGATTGCTATAAGCATGTTTTACTGTAATAAAATCATGGTACTATATGTACATTGCATCATTCACCAAAATCTTCATAAAGCAGTAACAATGGCACATTGTCATCAAAATCCACACCTGGTACAGAACAATATATCTTCGTTTGGTCTACTTCTCCTGGGCTTTAATAAAATCGGACCAAATACTAAAAGTGCTCATTCCAAACATATAATATTTAATGGCTACACTGTAATCACAAGAATTATGTACAGTTAAACCCTGTTATCTTGAACAGGAAAGGACTGAGAAAAACTTTGAAATATCCTACGATTTGTTATATTGAGGTTAAAATACATAGAAAAAGAGTAGTTCAGACTTCCACATATCTATGATATTCAAGATATTGATGTTCAAGATCCCAAAGTTCAACCACATCTTTAAAACTTTTTTTTTAGCAAGTTTCATTGAAATTGGATCAAAACTGTAGAATGAGTAGAGTTTTGAAAAATAACTTACAGACAGGTGACAGACACCCTACCATTGTATCATCTTTTCTGGTCTTTGACCAATATATCTAAAAATGTTCAATACATATTGCTTTAAAAAAGTTGAATTCTTTAAAAAGTTAATTAATTTTATAAAAGTTTGGCTCATTTCTATTTGTCCTCTGTTTCACACATTCCAATATCAGCTATATCTCTTCCTCCTCTCTACAGACTGTCACTTTGTCACGGATTGCATGGCTTTTCACAGGAGCATCACGCATCACTGAAGTCTTTGGTGTCTCCATTACAGCAGGAGGTTGAATGTTGGAATAAAATGCAGCATTCTCCCTCTCTGGTGTTTCTGAAGCATACATGGTGCGAAGTCCATTTGATGCCACTGGTCTGATGGGTTTAGAGGGGGACAGGAAAGCAGGGTCCTCCTCAGGGTGAGCTCTTATCTGCTGGGCTGCATTAAAGGAAATCTCCTGAAGGGCTACAAGACAATGACAGACAACAACTGAGACAACAATTTCAAGGACAGAAGAAATATATTTACACACTTGACATTTTAAAGGCAATTTCACAGACAGTGGAAATATCTTCTACATAAGACAATAAATAATTAGGGATGTCAACGAATACTCGAGTACTCCACTATTCGATCATACCGACTATTGACTAAAATTTTCTTAGTTGGTTATTCGTTAAAAATTTGCTACTTAATAGTAATCTTAAATTCAAGGTAAAAAAAAATTGGATTTGCTCAGGTCATTTATAATCATAATATCCGTGATCAGTGTTCTCGTGAGTAAAACTCAGGGAAAGGCTTAACCGATCTTCGTTAATAGTTCAAAGGAATTTTTTGTTCAGCCAACATGCATTGTCATACTTTAAAAGATGTCAGATCCAAATTATAAATTTTCAACCTGCAATTCTATCCGATCTCGTATAATGCAACTATCAATGAATAAAGAATAATTAATAGGCTGTTATATTTGTAAATACATGTACATGTAAATTGGGGGACAGTTATGAGCGTAATTTAAAGACGTTTCTTTCTGATATTAATATCAATCATTTTAAAATTGTATTGATTGTTTGCAAAAAATCTCATAATTAAAATTTATCGCAAGCTCTGTTTTTATATAAGAGTTACGTTTTAATTGTTTAACAATCACGGGTCACTGACAAGACACGTTCAAATGGCTTCAGGTAAGAAATCAATAAAGGGTACATGTACTGGCAGCATGAAAAGAAAGAATAAATGCGAGCGTTTGATATTCTGTATATAGATAAAATGTGCAGTAAATATTACATTTGAAATCAAATACATTGGATACATCTATTTATTACAATGTAAATGTTAACAATTCAATAATTCGTTGTATAATGGTGATAGCGTAGATTAAATATTGTACAGGCAGTCAGGCAATCAGTCTGTTAAAGACAAATAGGAAAAATGACATGAAAAATTTATTAAAATTTCAACGAGTATTCGACTATTGTTCGACTACAGCTCCGACTATTCGACTAAGCTGTCCGAGTAAAATTGACATCCCTATAAATAATTTTAAACAAGAGGCCCATGGGCCACAGCACTCACCTGAGTAACTTTGGCCTTGCTGTTTTTCACCTGATTTCCCCCCCCCCCCCCCCCCCGTAGTACTTATTGTGGCCCCGCCCTATCCCCAGGGGTCATGATTTGAACAATTGGAATCTACACTACCCCAGGATGCTTCCAAGTAAGTTTCAGCTTATCTGGCTCAGTGGTTCTTGAGAAGAAGATTTTTAAAGATTTTTCCTATATATTTCAATGTAAAACTTGGATTCCCTATTGTGGCCCCGCCCTACCCCCAGGGGTCATGATTTGAACAATTTAGAATCTACACTACCCCAGCATGCTTCCAAGTAAGTTTCAGCTTTTCTGGCTCAGTGGTTCTTGAGAAGAAGATTTTTAAAGATTTTTCCTATATATTTCAATGTAAAACTTGGATTCCCTATTGTGGCCCCGCCCTACCCCCAGGGGTCATGATTTGAACAACTTAGAATCTACACTACCCCAGCATGCTTCCACATAAGTTTCAGCTTTTCAGGTCCAGTGGTTCTTGAGAAGAAGATTTTTAAAGATTTTTCCTATATATTTCAATGTAAAACTTGGATTCCCTATTATGGCCTCGCCCTACCCCCGGGGGTCATGATTTGAACAATTTAGAATCTACACTACCTTAGGATGCTTCCAGATAAGTTTCAGCTTTTCAGGCCCAGTGGATCTTGAGAAGAAGATTTTTTAATGACCCCACCCAATTTTTGTATTTTCTTGATTATCTCCCCTTTGAAGGGGACTTGGCCCTTCATTTTAACAATTTAAACTCCCCTTCACCCAAGGTTGCTTTGTTCCAAGTTTGGTTAAAATTGGCCCAGTGGTTCTTGAGAAGAAGTCGAAAATGTGAAAAGTTTACAGACGGACGGACAGACGGACGGACGACGGACAACGGGTGATCAGAGCTTTCAGCTCAGGTGAGCTAAAAATTGTTGGTGTAGAAATGTTACAGGCTAATATGGAGTCTCTAAGATTGTGGCCTGATTCTGTCGGCCAAAAATTGACTGGGACTCAAACTATAATACATTAATCCTTGTGTGTTAATTGGAAAAATTCTTAAACAATTTTTATTTACCATATATTTTAAACCAACAATTGGTCTATCTCAAGGCAGAGAGAGAGAGAGAGAGAGGAGGGGGGATATTGAATGGGAGGTGTATGATTTAAAATATTTTTAAAAAATACATGCATCACTTTTTTTGTTATTTATTATTCATATTGCTACTACAAATGGAGAGACTTCTTTAAATTGTCAAAAATAGGTCATTTGCTGAGGATGAATGGTGCAAAGTTCAATGAAAATGGTTTATGGAGAACATTGAATATGTAACAAAATTAGTAAATATGTTTTTTAGGAATACCTCATGGTATGAAACAAATTAGCAATTGTAATATATTATCAACTGAGGATAAAAGAAGATGTTGATAAGTTCTGAGAAAAAGTTCTTGTGGTAAAATCTCCATTCTATATCTTCCCTCTAACTTAATGTCAATGAAAACTTGTGGTAATATCTCTTAACTGTATCCTCTAACAATATCAATGAAATCTTGTGGTAATATCTATATACTATATCTTCCCTCTAACTTAATGTCAATGAAGCTTACCTGGGTCAGGTGCTGAAGGAAGCTTCCCATCTGTGGCATCTTTTGTAGTCACACGGACAATAGTTTTGCGAGAAATTTGTGGATTATGATCTCCAGGAGGGGGGTCTGTAGGATCTCTTTTGCTATCTGCCCATATTGTTTGATTGACTTGTGCCCCCGTTTTTTTGTCCACTGCAGAGCGAACTATAGTGCCCCCTGGAGGAGGGACCTGAGGATCATCCAAGACTATTCCAGATGGCACTAAAGAGCTGCTGTTCATAGTATTCATCAGATTTGTCCTTGCGAGCTGGCCTTGAGGCAAAGGATGTTGACTATGATAAGGTGTATTGTATGAGTCATGTCCTGGAGTGGAAGTGAATCCTGGCATCCCAGGATATGACATATCAGCCACAGGAATATAGTTCCCATGTGGATCAATCATATAACTCTGTCCACCATGCTGGTATTGATGAGGGTTGCCGTACACAGCATTACCATAAGCATCATAACCCAACAAAACGATTTCATTTATTTGGTTGTGAAAGTCTTGTTGAGGAGGGTAAAAATGTTGCATTACAGATGAATCTGTTGCAAAAACTGGAGCTAAAGCCTCAGGAGGAAGGGGCCCATCATCTGCTTTTAAATGAACAGGTGGCATAGAATCAAAGGAGTTGTTTTGAACAGAGTCATCTGTTGTGTTTTCCAGGCTGTCTCCTTTCCCTTTACTAGGCTTCTTGTGAATGCCAACATATTTCTTTTTGCGTTTCTTCCGTTTTGATCCTGGAGATTCATCTGTTCTGGATCTGAGGGAACTGACAGAGGCCCTAATGGCTGGATTTGTTCGCAGCAATGGGTTGGTAATTTTGTCTGGTTCCCCCACCTCACTCTGTTGATCAATACCAGCATACTTTGACTTGTCAAAAGTACCTGTCTCCTCTGGCTGACCATTTGCTTTACGAGAAGTTCTTGGAGTGCTCTCAGAAGCTGGGCCTTCTTTAGAATCTGCAATATTTTTTTCACTGGTATCTGATTCTGTTTTCAATTCCTTCATGCTCTGTCTACGTGAAAGCTCTCTTTTAAGTTCATGCAAGATTCCAGTTGTTGGTGAAGTAGTCTCAAACACATCATCAACATTAGTTTCTTTTTTTATGTTGGTAATGTTTTCTTTTTCATAGTCTTCTTGGTCAGTGTAGCCATGGTTATGATAGTTTCGTTTTACATTATTGTTGTCATTTTCCATGACTGGTCGACGTCCTCTTGGTGGTTCCTCAGTACTTTTGGTCCTCCTCCTGCCCCTTGGGGGTGAAGAAGACATGACTGGTAAATTGGTGTCCCTAACTCCTGATGTCTGGCTGTCACTTTCCCAGCTCTTCTCTTTGCCCTGAGCAGAAGGAAGTGGAGGTGCTTTAGGGGGTGCCACAGGTTTTACTTTTCTTCCCATAGTTGGGGTATGTGTCAAACTAGCCCACATCTGCTGGTTTTCCCAGTTTTTGGAGGAGAAGGAGGCCTCTGAGTTGCCAATTGATTCTGCATAACCTGTGGAACCTCCATTGACACTGTGGAATATGTTGTCAGATTTACCAGAGGCGATAACTCCTCCTCTGTAGCTCTGCATTGACTTCTTCTCTAAAAAACTGAGCTTTCCCTGTTTGTAGAACCAACACATTACTATGCAGAACACAATGAGAGCAAATAGACCAATCACGATTCCTATAACAGCACCAGTGGGAAGCTTTGAAGTGCCTTCTGATAACTCTGGTGCAGACGGGTCACCTGTAATTCAATATACTCATTAGCCTCATATCATTAACAACTAGCCCATGATCCATAATCCTAACCTGTAACATTGCTCCATCCTACACAAAACTTTTGTTTAAACCCCTTTTAATTCCACAAGCCATGATTTCAATAATTATAATTTGCAACTGATATTTTTATGTTTGCCTTTAAAATTCACATTTATAATCATCACCTTGTTGAACATGTCTATATATCATTTCCTAGGTAAAATCCTCAATCCTGTTTGTGGCCCATTCTGACCTTGGGAGTCATGATTTAACAAATTGAAATAGGCCCTCTTTAAAGATACTTGCATATAAACATCAGAAGCCTGTTCAACAGAGCGGGCATTTATTTATGAGTGCTCACATTGTTGAACATGCCTCAGGTAGTGTTGCTCTACATTTTTCCTTTATGATATCATTATGAAAACTTTGTACTCACCCTGACATAAGGGTCATGACTTGAACAAATGATGTCTACACATTATTTTCTATGTGAAGAGAGTCAGCTAAAGATTTATTTGATAACTTACGGAATGTTGTAATACGTAGATTAAAAGTGTTGTAAGGTTGGAAGAATACTCGGGCCTGGGTTAGATACACGGTGATGTCTGAATTTCGAACTTCAATAACACCAGTATTTTCCTGGTCTCCTAAGCAACGAAAATTTTTCTACAAAATCAAAAATATACACTGCAGATTATGCTTCTTCAGGGAGTAAAAAGTACAATAAGAATTTTTTCTTTCACCCCCTTTTAAAATACACATTACTACTGACAATTAAATAATATTTAATGAGTTCATAAACTTTAATAAGGCAAAAAAATTATTCTTTAGTTTCTCCATTTTACAAGTTGATTGTGAATACACTGGTGATCATTAGTCATCAGTATATATATATTTTTATAAATCTCTATAAAGTAACTGTTGATTAACTTGTGACGTCTGAAAAGGATCATGTACCTATATCTTAACATTAAAGCATTTCTTTAAAAATATATTTAAAAACTAACAACAGGGGATCCGGATGCTGTAGTTCCTTCAAAGATGCTTAGAGAAAATGCACAGTCTTTGATGGTAGCAGTCCATTCCACTTTGATGTAGTAGTAGGGGTCCGTGTAGCCAGACCTGAGGATTGTTGTACATGTGGAGGGAGGGTTGGGGGTAGAGATTGGGGAGCGTGCTGCCAAGTTGATGGTGTTGTCATATATGATAATTGTTTGTCCACAAGTACTAGGTCCATCCATGTAATCTGGTAATTATAACAATTGCCGCATAACAGCTTACTACATCTCAGTATTTATCATGTTCTTTCATTGGCAAAATATTTAAATATCAAAAGAAATACACTGAACATAAAAAGTGGAGCTTCAAGAAATTTCATATTTCGCCACTTTCCAGCATTGGTCAATCAACGACCATTCATTCCCTTATTCTAGACATATTCTATAACCAACCTGTATATCCACCTCCTTACCCTTTATAGTCGTCTCTTTACAGACTAATAAACTCGTTATGCCATCTGACAACAAATTCACAACAACTGAGTTTATTGGTCAGTAGGGACGACTATAAAGGGTTAGGAGGTTGATAAAATATACAGGTTAGTTATAGAATATGTCTAGAATTAGATGAAAAATCTTTGAATGACCAATGCTGGAGTGGCGAAATACATCCCCAAAGTGTGCAGAAAATCTTGTGCTGTAAATTGCACTTAAGAACAGACGATACGTTCCTCAAAAATATAAAATTTTTCTAAGATTTTGTCATTGAAATATTGCTACTTTAACATGCTTACTCGCAAAAAATTGCAGTACCCTTACCAGGCATTTGTGCAAGATACCAGAGGATGTTTTTCCTATAATTTCCTTTTGAAAAAAACTTAATTTGCCAATATCACATTTTTAAGTGTTTCAATTTTAAAAAGACAATTAGAAACCGGTTTAGAAATTAATTGTTACTTTTAATGTATCAAGTTTGATACCATCAAGAAATGATAAACTTCAAGGAAACCTGCACTGTGCTAGCTAACAATTAAGTGCCTGTGGGGAATTGTAAGTCTAAAATATCTGACGTTTTTCATTATTTTGATATCGTGAGGCGGTGAATTTTCACTTTTCATAATGGTGCTGGTTCTTAAACGTTTTCCTTAGTACATCAAATATCAAAATTGTGAAAAACGCCTGGAAAATGTCAGATATTTTGGACAAGTGGAGAAAGGTAATGTCACATCACTATGATGTGAACATTAAGTGTATAAGGTGTCACAGATAAGTAAGTTGTGTAACAGAGTTGATAGTGGCTATGCATTGTATATAGTGAGGCCACGCTCCTACTAGCACTAACTAGTGGGTTAACCCTTTAGCTCAGTCGGTAGAGCATTGGATTTTAAATCTGAGGGTTGTAGGTTCTAGCCACAGTGAGGACATATCCCTAGCTAATCGGTCATATTGGCGCCCAACTACAAAACCCACATGGTGAGTGGTGTTTATAGAGTCTCGTGTGTGAGATTTCTCAGGGGTAAAAAATCTCAAGAAAAAGAAGGGGGAAGTGTAACAGAGTTAAAAGTGGCTATGCGTTGTATATAGTGAGGCCACACTCCTACTAGCACTAACTAGTGGGTTAACCCTTTAGCTCAGTTGGTAGAGCGTTGGATTTTAAATCTGAGGGTATAGGTTCGAGCCACAGTGTGGACACCCCTAGCTAATCGATCATAGTTGTAAAGACTTTGAGTTATTAATTGCATATTGCAAAAATTAATGAATGATTACAAAACATGTACTAGTCTAGAAATGAATTTTCTCCACCATACAAACAATATTAATGTTAAATGAACCTGCATGAGCATAAAATTAAATCTCAAATTTATTGATTTAATTTGTTTAAAATTCATCTGTAAATATTTTTGTACATACATTCTCTGACGATTCCATTGGCTAAATTCAAGCAACTTATGGTTAGCAAAATGGTAAGACTATACATCTTATCTTCCAAAAACCAGATCAGGCAATCTACAACAAACACAGTCAATGATTCAAAATATTTTGAAACAGTCCCCCCCCCCCCCAAATTAACAATTAACTCGCATATATACAGATAACGGTATTGCTATATCATGTTTTTTTTTCCTTTTCAATATAAAGATTTAAAAAAAACTGTCTTCGTGTAACAAATTTTACTTAAATATACCTTCTTACCTCCAGGTAAGTTCTTTCATGACATATGAGACCTAAACATGAAGTGGGATCAACACACACAGTCTAGCCTATAATAAAAGATTTTCAAGCAATTTGTTTGTCCGCCATGTTTTTTTTTAATTTTACCTGAGTTGACCTACTTCTCTGCAGGTAAACGAAGTCGATAAATTTCCAGCCCGCATTCTTCACCATATGAATCAACACTGCAGTTTTGAATCAAACCGAGATGAAATTATCGGTTATGTAAATTATCATACAGGTAAGTCCAGAAAATGGCGTCCATATACAAACAGGAAATAAAAAGGTAACATCTCAAGCCACAAGTTTTGGGGAAAATATTATTAAATTAAATACGAAGGAATACCTACAGTAAAATATATTAGTGAATAAATCTTATTTAAATATTTTCGGGGGTTTTCGAAGTAGGTATATCCAATACATACATCAGCTGTACATGATGTAGACCCTATAAAAAGATTCAATATTTCTATGTGCTTTCGCTTGATTACGAAAATTTATAAATTTAGACCAGGGACCTATATACTAATATAGTATATATGTCCCTGTTTAGACAAAATATTAGATTATAAAAAGCGGAAATCCTTGCCTATCTGCGAACGAAGCTCCAGTACGTTCGTGATTTAGACAAAAAATTTTGCTTTACAGTTTTCTTTTACAACGAAGGGACCTATACAATAATCCCAATTTACTGTATATGTCCCAGATTTTACCAATTTAATAGAAATGTCTTATTTCCTATGATATACTTTATATTGCTGAAGGGTTATATTTGTAGGATTCATATACTTGTATAACAATTAAAACGGCAGCGATGCTAAGGCAGATTTTTGTGACGGTGGTCTTTTGCCTTCAGTTCCCTACATCTTACCAACAATCTTCATTCAGTGGTCAAAATCCCCAGGCAAAGGTGTTTGACTGTAAGTACCAAATTTAAGATTTGATAAATAAATTATTTGTTTGTTTGTTTGCTGTTTAACATCCCTCTTAACATATATCCTCACAATTTCAGGGGTCCTGTGTCAACTCTTTGCTGTGGGACCCCTGACAAATTACACTCATTTTTTTTCAGGCTTGTTTCTCTAATTGAGAAGCACCAATCAAATTGAAGTAGACAGATAATGTAAACAGAAGGGCTAGCATGTACATATTAAGCATTGCAATGTTTATCACCGGCTTCAGTGTGTTCGGTTGAGAGATAGGAAAAAGAATCAAGATTTTTAATTTTCCTGAAAGACATTGCTGCAGTCACCCTGTAAGATATTGAATGAAATTTGTCAGGGGTCCCAGGGCACCGAGTTGACACAGAACCCCTGACGTTGTGAGAATGTACCTCATCACAACAATGATGCACCCAAACAATTTGCAAAAAAACAAAACGACAAAAACAAAAAACCACACACAATAAAACAATATGGAATCATACATTTACATTACTTGTAAGGTTTGTTAAGTCTGAGTGTCTACAGAAATATGTTGGGATGATCAGTATCTCAAATATGGTGAGGCGGAGCTAAGCCATCTAAATTAATGAACCTGATATATTTCTGTGGACAGTCAGTTACAAACCTATTGAGTGATTTATTTTTTCGAGGACTCATAATGATGTGAGAGACATTTAAACACAAGACAGATCCATGGTGCTCAATGTTTATAAAAAGGGGGAGGGTGCTCAAAAGGATTGACATACCAGAAAAGAAAAATATTAACTGTCAAAACTCAGGAGGGGATAGAATTTTCCTCTAAATTTTTGGCTATTTTTAATGCAAAAGTATGGCACACTTTCCACCCTATTGCAACAAAAAGTAGAGGGAGGAGGGCATGTTGTTTGAATGAAATTATAGAATCCACAACAAAAGACTATTCATAAAACAGTGGGAGCCCCCTCCCCCTTTCCTGACCCTTAGATCCACCGGCCAGCAGGAAATGATGATCAATTAAATGAATTGAATCAAATAAAATTTTACTTCTGTTAATTTAAGTGTCCCAACATCTCGACTACTGAGTCTGGTCCAATTTCACACAGTCAAGTGCTTCAAAATTATCAATCAAACCTTTTACTGTTACATTTAATAAGCTTCAAAAATCTTTGAGGCACTTTTGTTTACTTTTTAGCTCACCAGAGCCGAAGACTCAAGTGAGCTTTTCTGATCACTTTTTGTCCGGCGTCCATCTGTCTGTCCGTCTGTCTGTAAACTTTTAACATTTTCGACTTCTTCTCAAGAACCACTGGGCCAATTTCAACCAAACTTGCCACAAAGTTTCCTTGGGTGAAGGGGATTCAAGTTTGTTCAAATGAAGGGCAACACCCTCTTTCAATGGGAGATACTAGAGAATAGTGAAAAGTTAATAGCATCTTTTAAAAATCTTCTTCTCAAGAACCAGAGGGCCAGGAAAGATGAAACTCATGTGGAAGCATCCTCAGGTAGTGTAGATTCAAGTTTGTTCAAATCATGACCCCCGGGGGTAGGACGGGGCCACAATGGAGGATCAAAGTTTTACATAGAAATATATAGGAAAAATCTTTAAAAATCTTCTTCTCAAGAACAGCAAAGCCATGATGAGTCATATTTATATGGAAGCATCCTCAGGTAGTGTAGTTTCAAGTTTGTTCAAATCATGACCTCCGGGGGTAGGGCGGGGCCACAGTTGAGGATCAAAGTTTTACATAGAAATATATAGGAAAAATCTTTAAAAATCTTCTCAAGAACAGCCAAGCCATGATGAGTCATATCTATATGGAAGCATTCTCAGGTAGTGTAGTTTCAAGTTTGTTCAAATCATGACCCCTGGGGGTAGGGGGGCCACAATGGAGGATCAAAGTTTTACATAGAAATATATAGGAAAAAACTTTAAAAATCTTCTTCTCAAGAACAACAAAACCATGATGAGTCATATTTATATGGAAGCATCCTCAGGTAGTGTAGATTCAATTTTGTTCAAATGATGACCCCCAGGGGTAAGGCAGGGCCACAATTGAGGATCAAAGTTTTACATAGAAATATATAGGAAAAATCTTTAAAAATCTTCTTCTCAGGAACAGCAAAGCCCTGATTGGTCATATTTATATGGAAGCATCCTCAGGAAGTGTAGATTCAAATTTATTCAAATTATGACCCCCGGGGGTAGGGTGAGGCCACTATGGAGGATCAAAGTCTTAAATAGAAATACATAGGAAAATATCTACTTCTGAAGAACTGCAAAGCCATGATTTGTCATTTTGATATGGAAGCATCCTCAGGTAGTGTAGATTCAAGTTTGTTAAAATGATGACCCCCGGGGATAGGGTCGGGCCACAATGGGGGGTCGAAAATTTTACATAGGAACATATAGGAAATATCTTCTTCTCAAGAACTGAAAATCATGTTTAGTCATTTTGATAAGAAAGCATCCTCAGGTAGTGTAGATTCAAATTTATTCAAATCATGACCCCAAGGGTAGGGTGGGGCCCAATGGGGGGTCGAAAGTTTTACATAAGAACTTATAGAAAAAATATTTCTTCTCAAGAACAGAAACAGAAAAGCTATGTTTAGTCATATTGATACAGAAAAATCCTCAGGTAGTGTAGATTCAAATTTGTTCAAATGATGACTCCTGGGATAGGGAGGAATATATGAGAAATTTTTTTTTAAATCTTCTCAAGTACAACAAAGCCATTTGTTATATTGACATGGAAGCATCATCAGGTAGTTTAAAATTCAACCCCCCCTCCCCCCCCCCCCCCCCCCATTGGTAATCTTTTTCAATACTGAACTGACTTCTGCTTTTGCCTAGCCAATGTGCGTTGTGGCCCATGGGCCTCTTGTAATGAAATGGAATGAAAAGCGGAACAGAAAATGGAAAATATGACGTCAAGTTACTCACTTGGCACAGATATAAATCAGACAGGAAACAGTATTCCATATCCAAACTTCATACCTAATTAAAAATTATCATAGCAGTGTGATTTATTCATGACTTTTTTCAATACATACTTATCTATCTGAATTCCTCATTTATCACTCGTCTAAATCTGATTTTTAAAAAAAATAGCTTATTCATCAATGACAAAACTATCATTATTGATCATAAATTATGAAACAAGCAATGTTTTAAAACAGGTGGAGAGAGAGAGAGGGGCACAAAGAAAGAGAGTTTGTACACATTTGTGTTCAAGACAATGATCACTGACATTAACACGATTTAGTAAGGAAAGTTTATTCCAACTACAGGACTGTTAATGTTATCCACCATGAGGCACCTGAAGCATGGATAATAATTAAAATACCATTTCTGGTCAAATTGTAAAACTGTAAAACAGCTAGCTAACACAAACCGTTTGCACAAAATGACATTAAAATGGAATTGATGGGGAAATCTGTAATAAATGATTTCTAATGTCAAAGTGTAATTCAGCAACCCATCGGCCATATTGCCAGATATTCTCTCCTGCCAGGCATAGAAATATAGCTAGCAGTCACATGTCATGTTTAAACCAATGAATATGCGACATTTCAATCAGAGGAAAAATAAAGATGTATATTTCTCTATTAATTTATTGTAATGCATTCTTATAGGATTTAATATCTATATTGCATTCAGGTCTGGTACATGTAAAAGACCCCTCCGAATTTTTCAGTGCTTGTTATCCCCCCAAAAAATGAAGTTTTAAATCATTACGACTCATGAAGACATAAAGAAGGTATAAGCCTACACTCTAATTCTAATCTACAGTTAAACGATATGTAAACATTAATAATTCCAAATATTAAATATCATTGTAGACTATATGGATAGCCATGCAGAATGTGGGAAGACGTTTGAGTTGGGATTGAATTCAGCCACAGTGTATGGTAAAGGAGCTGTTCAGACAGGTGATAGCCCGACCAGTTGTACCATCATTCTCTCCACAGATGGGATCAGGGAACACCGTAGATTCAGCATAGAGCTGGTCACTGGTTTTATTAATTCACCTGGAGTCAACTTTTACATATATGATGGGCAGTGGTCTCAGAATTCAGGGGCACAAACCCTGGTAAGTATTGTAAACAGCCTTTAGCAGCTTTAAAAAGAATGTTTTAAAATACATTTGTCTCAAGAATTTTTCTAGACAATATAAATGCCAAAGACAGAAACACTTGATATATTTAATTTTTTTTTCCAGGCTGCCTTTAGTTACTATAACAACCCTCCCACCAATATGCAGAAGCTGATTACCTCAGGTGGGTTTGTCACCTTCTCTCTGACCCGGGACAGTCCGGATCTGTTTGGATATGGTTTTGTTATCCATGTGCAACCAATTCCTGGTGAGTAAAAAAGAATTTAGGGGATCATAATTCTGTTATGATCAGTGATGTATTTTAATTATTTGAGTACTCAAAATTCCATAAGGTAATATCATATCTTCATCTTAAACAGTCAGAGCTCCAGATAATTTTTTACCTCAAAGTGTATTTACTCCCTGATTTTCAAATCAATGCAGATTTTGCTTTTCAGCAAAATAATCAAAAAGTATTCTGTTAATCTATTGCTATTTTGACATCTAATGCAATTTTTAGCTTGTTATCGAATTAAGTGTTTCTGAAAGACGAATTTAAAAAAAAAAAAAAAAAAGACAATTTCTGTATTTATTAAATAGGTTAATGAAATATATATTAGGTTTTGGTATATAAATTGTTGGCATCGATCGAGGTAAAAGTTTTAGAGTTACTCCCCGTTTGCATTAAAAGTCACATGGCGCTATTTATAGCAAAGGAGTCATGTGGAAAGCAAAAAAGCCATTATTTTCATACAATTAATTAAGGTTGTCGTCGGACTTTAGATGATATTATTGCTACAGAAAATGGGAAATATACAAGAACTGTTTAATAAACAGTGATAAAGGATAAATTAGACCCCATGCGTGTTTTGCGGAATTTTGAGAATATCGACGTGTACATGTAGCGTTACGTGTCAAGAACGAAAATTTGGATGTTATATGAACAGTGGAAATCTGTGATATTTTCAGACAATACAAGTATTTAGTATTCAAATCTTTCTCCCGAACTGGAAATTGGCCTAGGTTATTCCGAATACATTTATAAATCAGAATTTCCTTTTGATAAAAATTCAAACATTGAGCTGACCTCAATTCACCCAATTAGTTAAATCATACTTGTATCATTCAATCCCTCGTACGCAGTACTTTCATAGTGTAATGCTTATTTATGACATCTGATGTGCGTAATTGTACGCCCTGTTTTAATTTTTAATGCGTATTTTGAAAAATTCAATGCATATCTCTGCAAATACGCACCTTATCTGGAGCTCTGAACAGTTAGAGCAATAAATATATACATATTAAGTAATTCTAACCTTTCTGTAGCGGACATCTCCAATCCCAATAATTGTGATGATGGAGCAGGATTTGGCTGTGAGAATTACTACTACAACCCTATTATCACCAAGTCAGAGGTCATCTATATTGTGGCTGCCATCTTTGGCGTTGGTTTGGTCATTGTGGTGCCATCAGTCCTTGTCTACTGTTACTGTCGTCAGAAAGGACTGAATCGAAGGTGGCAGGAGAGACGATTAAAGGATGGGGCCCCAAACACGGCTGCCACCTCATTGAATGGCAGTGTTCGTTCTGCTCCACGCAGCATTAGGCCTTGGCAGTCTGAAGGATCCAAACAGGCCTTTGCTTCTATTAGGAAATCTCCAGTGTCTTCCCGCAGATGGTCAAGACCGCCAACTGATGAAGAGGACAGTGTCTTTGATGGTATCAGTTTTATTTCCAGTTAGCAAACCTTCTTGGTGAATCAAAATAACTTTTATAGCCTAATTAATAATTATATTTAATGGTAGTCAATTAAAATCAGGTGTTTGTTAAAATTGTTTACTGTATACTATGCTTCTTTGCAACATAACAAATTGGAGCAAACAAAACCTAATTTTTACTGGGTAACATAAAATCAAGAATTCATCACTGTGTAAAACTTGGAAAACCGTATGACCATTAACAGAAGTTCCAGTGTGTGTTTGCTAGTAAATATTTATCATGAACAAAATTTCAATGAATTTACAATGCTTTGCTGTCATACTTTCAACAACTATTATACAGCTTTAATTTAATAATTGAGAAATCACATTATGTATTATTATGAAATTAAATAGAAATATGTATATCAAATATTTCAAAGAGCTAGGTTGTAATTTCAGATTTTCCTAAGAGACCCCCTCCTCCACCGCCCTATGAGGAACATGATAGATACAGAGTAGCCAGGGATGGTAGAGATACCAGAAGAGACAACTCTAAAAGAGATCATCATTACAGAGAAAGGAAGCACAGTGAGAGCAGTAATTATACCTCTGGTAGGGAGCAATACAGCGATGAGAAAGATCAATATAGCGATGAAAAAGATGATTCATTTGTACAAGCTGATGATGATCATCCACAGGAAAACTTTGTGGAGAGGATCATTGAACCTAGAGTCCATCGAAAGTCAGCAGGGAGGGTGAACAGAAGGCCAGATGTTGATCAGGAGGATGGATATGATTCTATTGGAAATATTAAATCTGATAAAAAAGACAAGAAAAAAATGAACACCGAGACTCAATGCAGCAAGGAGTCAGACAGTGAAGGCAGTCCAGAGACAGAGAATGAGGCAGGGAGTACAGAGGAGGAGGAGGTTTCATCACACTCTGAGGAGGAGGAACAGGATCCTCGAACCTCACTGTACGCACAACCTGACAAAGCTCGCAAGGGAGGCAAGAAAAAAGATGAAACCAAAGCAGATAAACCAACAGTTCTACAACCTCAACCTAGTGCTACAAGCACAATTCTACAACCAGGAGTGCCATACCAAGCCAGACCCCCAGGAATGGTCATGCAAAGAGCACCACTACAAGGATATCCAGTGGGTCCCTCAAACCCACCCATTAATCCCTCTTTAAGGTTTATGCCACCAGTGGGGCAAATTGTAAGGCCTGCTTATCCAGTTTCAAACCAGTTTAACCCTGCAGGCCCTTTTCCTCCAGCTAATCCAATAGCTAGACTTCCAATGCCAGCATCCGCAACAGTTCCCAATGTTCCAAGAGCAATGCCATTAAAAAATTTACCTGTATCCCAATCAAAACCAGTAGTGGAACAGTTGAATAATTCAGGTGATGCTCCAAAATATTCTTATCTAGTTAATCGTGGTTATGACACGGGTAGAACCTCTCCTGTTAGCACAACAACAAGTTACAGCCAACAGAGCTATGTTTTAGATGACTCTGCTGTCAATATTGACCTGGGAAGTGGTATAGAGCTCATGAAACGGACTACTACTGATGTGTAAATATTCTATACATACTCATGTGTTTATAGGCTGAATATCTCCACCTTAATATGCAAGAGTGCTGCTTTAAATTTTTAAAAATTATTATATGATTTTTTTTTTAAATCTTATTAACGATTATTGAAAGTTTACAATGAAACAAAAATCTTGTATATTATCTTGCTATTGTAGATGATGGAGACCAGATCAGTTTGTTGATTTGTATAATTACTTGACATTTGTCAGTAGTATTTACTATAAGTAAGGATGCTGAAATATAATGTATAGCTTAAGTTACTATTTTCACTGTTGGAATGTATAATTGTTACCATTTATTACATGTACTACTCACTAGCGGGTTAATCAAAACCAGTCTTGATAATTTTTTGATGAAGTAAGCAATTTTAATGGGCAAGCTGGTGCTATCAAATACTTTATAAATTCAATGATTTTATGTATATTTTAAATGGAAAACTGCATTTTTATTTTTTAAAATTTTTCTTGTTAATCATAGAAATATTGAAAGTAAATGGATTTTAATGCAGTGTAATTTTCATGGCAGAAGTACATGTAAATTAGTTTAATGAATTTAACATATAACAATGAGTATCAGTAATCAATAGCAGAAATAGAAAATAAGGTGAACCTAGATTTGTTCAAAGAATGACATGCTAAATCAGTACCGGTAAATGAAAACTGGATTCATCAATTTGCATTTTATAATTCAAGTAAACTTTGTATTATGACATTGTGCTTATTCAGAAATAAAATATTTTAGATAAAATTTGAATCATCCTGAAGTTCGTTCTATTCTTGTGTGACATAAGTTGCATGTAACAACTAACAAGGAATAATTTTTTCAATATTTTATATATAAACTTGTACAGTAAAACTTGATTATATTGAAGTTCTAGGGACCTTTGAATTTACTGGGCTTTATACATAATTCATTAAAGTACCATAATATAGAATTTGAAGTCTTCAGTGTGCAGTGTAAAGAAGATCCTGTACCCCCTAGTATGTTTAACTTTGTTCAAATCATGGTTCTCATGGCCAGAGTGGGACCACAACAGGAGCTCTTTGTTTACACAGAAATACCAGTACATGAACAACAAGGTTACTATTTGTAAGCTCCATATTCAGAGTCTCAATACTTGTAATTATCAATTATAGTGTAAATTTGTTTCTTTATCGTAAGGTCAGATTCTGAGCTATCTCACTTGTGTTCATTGGTTGTCCTGACAGCTTATTCACTTAAACAAACATATACATGATATTGGGTACCTAAGTGTTGCAACGATAGTCTCTGACTATCGAAAAATCTTTGCTGAAGGCAGCAAGTCGGTGACAATTGATAGAAAATTACAAAATCAATAGTCGCTCCAGTTTTTCAAAATATTTTACATGTATTTATACAAACTGGTTTATCTTTTAACATTATCAAAGGATATTCCTCTATTCTTCTTGCAAATGGCAGACAAATTTTCCTATTAAGTATAAATTGAAGTTGGTCTCATAGATTTGTATTGAAATATTCTTTTCATTTACGAGGATATCTGAATATTTGATGGTTAACTTTATTTAACCTTTAAATTAAAGTTCAAACTATCGATCATATAATCGATTGTATGCTACCGATTCAATTTGATAATCGACAGTAAATAGTAATACAAATAGTACACAGATTCAAAAGCATTATATCTCTCATTTAATTGGAATCTAAGTGAGTCACTTAAAATGACATGATGACATTCTAACGTTTAGCAAAATGCCACAAGATTGAATGTTTTTTTGAAAACTTGAGCCAAGAAACATACACCTTGACACCACATCTATCACCGTTTATACTTTACAGAAATAGTATAGCTCAAAAATAGAATCTCTGAATGAAAAGAAAATTGATATATTGGAGGCAATAAACTTAAAATTTACTAGCCTCCGGCTATTGGACCAGCGTTAGTATAGAACCCTGCAATCCTTTCAAAGAAACTGTTATTATATATTTTCATCAAACTTCACTCTCTGATACAAACTGGTGAGAGGAATTCAACTGTTTAATAGTTTTCTGACATAGATACTCCTAAAAACTTTGAACTTCACTTTTCAAGATATTTAAACAAACTTCATAAAAAATCAACTGTGTCATAATTTTATAACACTGGACTTCCTTACGACCTTGGGATCTTGAATTTCAATTCTTTCTCGTTTTGCTCTTAGTTCATCTTATTGTATTCAATAAACCACTGTTGAAAATAAAAGACATCCTTAATATTAAGAGCCCCCCCCCCCCCCCAAAAAAAAAGATGCTCATCAAATACAAAAATTTAAAGAAGACCAATGTTAAAATGAGTTATTTTTTGTTGATTTCTTAATAAGAATCTGCTTATCTAAATAATAGGTAATATCAAAGATTACAAATATAAATTCACATTGACAAATGTTATTTGTAGTAAGGCAAAGTCTCACACCAAACAAATGTTTTGATAACGTCCATTCCTAGATACAACACCTATGCAAGTTTGATCTGGGTAGATTAAAAAAAAAATTGTTCAATCACCTGGAAGGTCTGGTAGTGTTCATCCTTAGATGCACCATCTGGTCACTTATAAGGAAAATATAGGTTAGATCCAATATCCAAAGCAAGTCTGGAAGTGTACTTGACAAGATTCATCATCTATGCTAGTTTAATCCACGATGGGCTTATAGTTACTAGTATTTGGGAATGGAATTGCTCCTAAAACATCAAAAGGGACAGCAACACCAGGGGTTTGGCATAAGCTCATATCAACTTATCAATATGAGCTAAAATGAAAGCAAGAAATGAAATTTTATCTTTTAATGGTACAAAAATTTACCCAGAAGATGTACATAAAAAAAAAATCAATTCACTTTTTCTTATGGTCCACCCATTTGAAAAAGTCACATCTGGCCTCTGGATTGCTGCTGTGACCCTCGCCTCTGGCACACACAAAAAACTGTTTGCCTTTGTTTGGACCAGGCTTTTTTACAGTCCTTAATACACAGGTTTCCTGATGTCCTTTACACAAAGGGGGAGGAGGTGGCCCTTTAAGGAGACTTTTCCAAGCACTTGCTGAGTTGGTTTTGATTGTTATATCATCCACTACTTTTACTCCCATCTCGGTGGTTTGTATCTCCTCTTTTGTATTACTGGTAGACTTTTGAATGTTAAGATCTATAATCTCCTTTTTTGAACTTGCCTTTAGAAAAAATCCTTTAAGGCTTCCTTGTTTAATATCACTTGATTCAGTTTTCCTTTTCTTAGCCTGATTTCCAAACTTTTCATCTGCACCTGATCGCTTGGATGACATTTTCTCTACATTATCAACTATAGCCACAGATGTGACATTGTGATCAGAGGTAGTCTGGCTGAAAGTTACTTCAATTTTTTCATTGGTCTTTTCCTTCTTCACAAAAAATGATGAGAGTTTGACTTGCTTTCCACAAAACTCAGGCATGTACTTTGTACACAGTGCAGGACATCTATCAGCAGGAATGAATTCTGTGAAGTATTCAGCTTTAACTGGGCAGTGATCTGATCCTTCAACATCTGACATGATACTACAGTCCTTTAAATCACTCTTCACCAGCTGTATATCAGTGAAGATGTAATCAAGGCGTCTGCCATAGTTTGTTTCTCTAGCTGAGGTCAAAGTGCACCAGTTAGTATAGGCTCCCTCTTGGTCTGGATATAAATATCTAAACGAGTCAACAAACAGACCACCGCTCACAAAACTGGTGGTTCCTGCAAACTCTTCCTTGTTCTCCACATCTGGAATACTGGAATCTCTGTCACCGTCCCAAACAAACTGGTTCACCCACACACGGCTTGGCTTGGTGACTGTTCCCTAAACAAGTGAAACCCTTTGAGAAAATCCCCTGTAATTGCTCTCTGAATGTTGAGATTATATTACATATATTACCTGGTATACTATGCATCAAATCAGATTCTTGAAAAATAATATCATTAACACAGAAATTCTTATGTGAAATAAAAAACTTACGATTTCATCTTCTTCACTCATGTCTATACTCTTGTGTTTGACATTCATGTCTCCAAGAACAATAACATGACTAAAATGAACAAAAAGAAAGAGCATAAAAATTCATCTCTCTAAAAATTTATTATATATTACTCTTAAATTCTTCTTATATCATCAATCTCTTACATTACATTAATTACTCTTGAAGTCTTCTTATTTATTTCTTACATTACTCATAGAGTCTTCTTAAAATCATTCATTTCTTAAATTAATCTGCCTTTTTCAGAGATATAAATGGTTTCTGCCCATAATTTTTGGTTTTCATCAGTAATTTTGTGTTAACAATCCATTGGCTTCATTTTCTAATGTACAATTGATAACTTTTAAATACGACTGATTTCTGATTGCTAATATTATTATTTGATTTGTCAGCCTTGTATCATATATAAATAAATCAGTGTCTTCAAGGTTTTTAAGTGAATCTCTAATCATTGCTGAATCATTTATATGACAGAAAAATAAGGAACACACTCCAGAAGAGTCAGAGGTCAACCTGTAATCCATAGTTTGAAATAAAAATCCAGGATTATAAATACAGAAAAGCTCTGTTTCTTGTGCATAATGTACTACAATATTACATCTTTCTTGACATTCACTTAAAAATGTCAATTAGCAAGGAAAACTAGGAAGACAGGACAAGAAGAGAGACGCCTGAGGACTTGTACTAGAGTATCTGATTTCTCTAGAGGAGGTTATCATACACATGTACTTACAGGTGTATCCTACAAATATCTTTATATAACACAAATATCTTTATATAACACATAGAGATACTAGTACTGTGGTATTAACGGCATTGTTTATGTTTTTAAAATCACATTGTGTGTTTTAGTTTGAACAAAGATATTAAAACTGTTATTTTCTCTTTCCCTCAATAATAGTTGATTCCTATTGCATATTTTCTAAGTTTCTTTCATGGCATGATTCCAATGTATACAGAGACATTATTTTCACTAGCCACTTTTTAGAAGTGTATGTGGGGTTATTAAAAAGTTCATGGACTAGCGCCATAAAATTAAATCCACTTGAGGTAAATTAATGAATTTTCACACATCTAGTTAGCACCATCTTTTCTATCTATAGAATTAATTTTTTTTTTTTTTTTAAATTGTTAATGCTTCTGTAAGCAATGGTATGACCAGGCGACACAACCCAAAAATACAACTTATTTTTACCTGTCGTGAGTCTAATGGAGAAGAACTCTTTTGATATGAGAATTTGTCATCCAATAAGTATGTTAATTCACTTACATGGTTTGACACAATTGTTTCATAAAATTTGTAATTTAACTAATTTTTACTTTATTCTATAAGTTCTCTAAAATCTTAATAGTATATTTTATATGAAAGGGGTTAAAATGACATCAGAAGGGGAGGGATGTTTTTCTAACTTCCTATAAAGTTTCACTCTCTGGAAAAACTGGCATGTTAGGGCATGCCTAGGAATTACAGAGAAATTTCAAAGTACTGAGAGTACTGATAGGCAGAGGCACGACTGCAAATTCTCGGGTACATTTTATTTGCTGATCAAAAAAAAAAAAACAAAACAAAACAAAACAAACAAACAAAAAAAAAGATTTTGTACATTCTTCTAGGCCTGCTGTTCTTAGACCTAGTTTTTATGAATGTGTTCTATGACTTCCTAATTTTCAAGTTCAATTGAATTTTTTTTAATCTGACGTAACAGTTGAAAATTGCTGAATTTTAAAAGTCTCATAAATTGTTAAATTTCAAAGCCATTGTTAGCTATTGTTTAAAGTTATCAAAAATAAAATTAAAAGACATTTTTCAACAAAGACAAAGTTCTCATCTAACTGTCATCAAAGTTCTCATATAATTTTGTTCAAAGTTCTCATAGACGTAAAGCTTCAAAGACATTCACTAAAGCTCTCATAAATTGTTAATTGCAAAGACATTATTCAAGATCTCATGAATTGTTAGTTTTCAAAGGCACTGCTCAGAGCTCAAAAATTGTTGAACTTCAAAGGCATTGTTCAAAGTTTTCTTTAATTGTTAAAGTTCAAATTTTGATAGTGTTGAAAGTTCTCACATAATTCAACAAAAATCAAAGGCATGCAGTGTTCAAAGTTCTCAAATAATTGTGTTCATAGTTCTTATATAAATGTGCTCAAAGTTCTCATATAATTGTGTTCAAAGCTCTCAAATAACTGTATTCAAAGTTCTCATCTAATAAGTTTTCTTGGATGTAAAAATTTCAAAGACATTCATCAAAGTTGTCATAAATTGTTAATTGCAAAGTAAGACATTGTTCAAGTTCTCATGAATTATTCCAAGTTCCCTTAAATTGTTTAATTTCAAATTTTGACAGTGTTCAAAGTTCTCATATAATTCAACAAAAATCAAAGGCAGAGTTCAAAGTTCTCATATAATTGTGTTCAAAGTTCTCATAAAATGTAAAATTTCAACATTGTTCAAAGTTCTCTTAAATTGTTAATTATCAAAAACATTGTTCAAAAGCTCATAAATTAATATTTTCAATGACATAATATTTATGTGGCTAAACTTATTAATTTTACTTATATAAACATAGATGAAGTTGTTATTTTCATAATATTTGAAAACAAGATGTGTTTGTGAAACACTGATGCCCCCGTATGGCAGCTTATGGCGAAGGTTAAAGTTTCTCAAATGCAAGTCAAAATCCAGGCCAAAAAATAGAAAATGTTGGTACCCAAAGAAAGGTCTTGTCTCAAGGAATATATACCTGTGAAATTTGAAAGCCCTAGCTGCAACTGTTCAAAAGTTATGGCGAAGGTTAAAGTTTTTTAAAAGTAAGTAAAACGTCCAGGTCAAGGTCAAAGTTGTTGGTATCCAAAGGAAGGTCTTGTCACAAGGATTACATATGTGAAGTATGAAAGCCCTAGCACCTATGACCAAGGTTAAAGTTTTTAAAAGTAGGTCAAACTCCTATGTCAAGCTCAAAGGGTCAAAGTGGTTGGTATCCAAAGGAAGGTGATGTCACAAGGATTACATATGTGAAGTAGGAAAGCCCTAGCATCAACCATTCAAAAGTTATGGCCAAGGTTAAAGATTTTCAAAAGTAGGTCAAACTCCTAGGTCAAGGTCAAAAGGTCAAAGTGGTTGTTATCCAAAAAAGGTCTTGTCACAAGGATTACATATGTGAAGTATGAAAGCCCTAGCATCAACCATTCAAAAGTTACGGCAAAGGTTAAAGTTTTTCAAAAGTAGGTCAAACTCCTATGTCAAGGTCAAAAGGTCAAAGTGGTTTGTATCCAAAGGAAGGGGATGTCACAAGGATTACATATGTGAAGTATAATAGCCCTAGCATCAACCATTCAAAAGTTATGGCCAAGGTTAAAGTTTTTCAAAAGTAGGTCAAACTCCTAGGTCAAGGTCAAAAGGTCAAAGTGGTTGGTATCCAAAAAAAGGTCTTATCACAAGGATTACATATGTGAAGTATGAAAGCCCTAGCTCAAACCATTCAAAAGTTATGCCCAAGGTTAAAGTTTTTCAAAAGTAGATTGAACTCCTAGGTCAAAGGGTCAAAGAGGTTGATATCCAGAGGAAGGTCTTGTCACAAGGAATACACATGTGAAGTTTGAAACCCCAAGCACCAACTGTTCAAAAGTTATAGCCAAGGTTAAAGTTTTTCAAAAGTAGGTCAAACTCCAAGGTCAAGGTCAAAAGGTCAAAGTTGTAGGTATTCAAAGGAAGGCCTTCACAAAGAATACACGTGCGAAGTTTGAAACCCCAAGCACCAACTGTTCAGAAGTTATGGCCATGGCCAACATATCAAGCTAAAATTTTCATCGTTTCTTTAACTTTTGTAAACATCGAATACATATTTTTAATCTTATTACATCAGTCCACAAACTTTTAGATAACCCTTCATATACAGACAATATTCTCACCAGCCACTTTTCAGAAGTGCCTCTGCTCTGGTCTGCAAAAGAGCGAAGAACCGGAGTTTGTATAACAGTCTGTCCTCTCTGTCGGGATCCACACGAGGACAATAGACATTGATGATGGCTAACTCTGCTTTTTGTCCGTCTCTCTTTCTGGAAGTACAAAACATTCCATACTTCAGAATGAACTCAATACTTTACTACAAATATGTACATAACAATATATCATTCTAAGCAGATGTAAAAGCACAGAATAATTTTCTTTAATTTATTTTATATGCTCAAAGAACTTTTACACTCCATAATTGAAGATTCAAGGGGCATACTGTTTTTGGTCTGTTTGTCCATCTGTCTGTTTGATGTTAATCTGTTTGTCTGCAAAAACTTTAACTTTGCCCATAACTTTTGAATGGTTGGTGCCAGGGCTTTCATATTTCACAAGTGTATTCCTTGTGACAAGACCTTTCTTTGAGTACCAGCATTTTTAGAACTCTTGACTTGGAGTTTGACCTACATTTGAAATACTTTAACCTTGGCCTTGAGCTGTCATATGGGGGCATCAGTATATCACACACATCTTGTCTTAAAAGTTCTGCTTCACTTTTTTTGCTTGCAAAGTTATGGACCATGCTTGGATTAAACACTCTTTTCCCAATGACCTTGAATGAACTTGCCCAAATGACCTTGGGTCAATGTCCTAACACAGTCCTGGCTAACCAGAAACTTTATGCCAGAAATGAGCTTCAAGTGTTTCTCCATTACAAGATAAGGCTAAAAGTGACCTTGCCAAAATGATCCCGGCTCAAGGTCATGACAACATATATATATATTTATACATGTGTGTGTGTTTATGTGTGAGTGCTAAAACTTAAGAAATATTACTTTATTCATTCCAAATACTTTGTGTACCTAATACACTTAGTAAGAGTCTCTAAACTGACTAGAAAAAAGTATAAAACCTTGACAGGTCTGAATAAAAATTGACTTGTGAAGAACTCTTTAGAGTTATAACTTTAATTTTCTTAGAGCCTGTGATACTTTTTGGGGTTAATACAAGTATAATTTGTTAAGAAACTGACAAAAAAATTTGGAATTAAGATTTCTTTCAGGTCAATTAGAACGGGAAACATACATATTTAAAACTAGAGGTACCGTGACCAGTGAGCTCACAAAATGATACCCTCACTCCCATATGAGTGAAATGTCCAATTTTATGCTATTGTATGGAAGATTCGGGGGTATATAGTTTTTGCCCTGTCCGTCTGTCTTTCTGTCTGTCTGGCTGTCTGTTTGTCCGCAAAAACTTTAACATTGCCCATAACTTTTGATTGGCTGGAGCTATGGCTTTCATATTTCACATGTGTATTCCTTGTGACAAGACATTTCTTTGGGTACCATCATATTTGACCTTTTGACCTTAACCTTGGAGTTTGACCCAGTTTTGCAAAATTTTACTGAACTTTAACCTTAGCCATAAATTTTGAACGGTTGGTGCTAGGGCTTTCATACTTCACACATGTAATCCTTGCAACAAGACCTTCCTTCGGATACCAATAACTTTGACCCTTTGACCTTGACCTTGGAGTTTGACTTACTTTTGAAAAACTTTAAACTTGGCAATAGCTTTTGAATGATTGGACCTAGGGCTTTCATACTTCACAAATAATCCTTTTGACAAGACCTTCCTTTGGATACTTTGACCCATTGACCTTGGAGTTTGACCTACTTTTGGAAAATTTTAACCTTGGACATAACTTTTGAATGGTTGGTGCTGGGGCTTTCATATTTGACATGTCTATTCCTTGTGACAAGACCTTCCTTTGGATACCAACAATTGTAATCCATTGACCTTGACCTTGGAGTTTGACCTACTTTTTGAAAAACTTAAACCTTGACCATAACTTTTGAATGATTGGTACTATGGCTTTCATATTTCACATGTGTATTTCTTGTGCATGTTTTACTGTATTTTAAAATACAACTATTTTTTTCCAAATAGAGCCAAACAACAAGAAAAATTTCCCCTTTCATTTTGTACAAGTACAACTGAATTTATGTATTATTTCCGACTTAGTGATTTGTAAGTATTCTTGATGCACTGACTAATTCTCTGTAGAAAAAGAACAAGTGCACTTATGGGCCCCGGTAAGAAGTTAAAAAATGAAGATTCAAATTAAGCCTAATTTTTCATCTCACATCATCAATCGATATCTAAACTACAAGATTTAACAAATTTTAGCGGTGAAATCCATGCTTACACAAAGAGCAAATCCACACAATGTGGTAGGGGTCAGCCGACATTTGTGATTTTCTAAAGTAAATCGAGGATGGGCATTCATTTCAAAGCCTTTGTTTATTGACAGCCTAACATTGTACAAACTTGTGCCAAAGACAAAAGATGCCTTATACATTTATAAAACTTGTGTGAAAGTAGGAAATTTGTACTTAAAATATTAAAAATGTATGAAAAGTTCGATGTTTTTCCTATAGCAAGCAAGAGCCTGTGTGACCTTTGTTGAACCCACCAGTGGGATAAATTATTTTAAATAGTCACATGAGTTCTACCTGGTAAACATTCCTCAACAGTGCTCACCGTAAAACAAAGCCAAGTTTTATACATGTATCGTTTGCCAAAGTCGTGCCACTTTAGAGACTTTTGATGTATTTGGTTTTATGAAAACGGGAGGGTAAATAGAGTTTTGTGTCTATAATCATACATAAAAATGCCAAACATTTTTTACATTAATGAAAGACAATGGTACCAGTATTGAAAGCTATAAAGTCAAGCAGTTATAAATAAATATAATAAATTACATGCATTGAATATCAGGATAACCTATTAAAGCTTCAAAGCTTGTTTTCAATGGGTTTCTAAAAAGAGGAGATAGAAAATAAAATAATTAATCAACAACTATTTGAATTAATTATTACAACACTAAATGAAAATGATTTGCACAAACTTTTTGACTTATTGTCACTTACATATTCAGCTCTACTTGTTTTAATTATACATCAATAACAAGAGGCCCAAGGGCCTTGAATCGCTCTTCTGATAAACTGTACAATCTATCACTTCTATTTGAAGCCTTTAAGTATCCTGTATATGTAGATAAACTCTTGAAATTCCAATTCACACTCTGAGAACCCAAGATGATTCTAAGCCAATTAGTACCTGAGAGTTGGTCATGGTGACTTGTCATTCTCTGAGGACCCATCAACTAAGTTTGATGATTCTAAGCCAATTAATACCTAAAATATTTTTTAAAATTATAACCCTAAAATTCTATAAGTGGTCAAAAGTGACCTACTTTTCAGTTGTTGTACTCCAAGGACCCAAGATGCATCAACTGACAAAGTTTGATGATTCTAAGCCAATTAGTACCTGAAATATTTAATTAAATCCATAAATTTTCAAAAGTAGGTCACAGTGACCTAATTTTTAGTTGTTGTACTCTGAGGACCCAAGATACATTGACTGACGAAGTTTGATGATTCTAAGCCAATTAGTACTGGAAATATTTTATCAAAGCCATAAATTTTTAAAAGTAGGTCACGGTGACCTACTTTTAAGTCGACCTACTCCAAATACCCAAGATGCATCAACTGACAAAGTTTGATGATTCTAAGCCAATTAGGACCTGAAATATTTCATTATAGTCATATAAATTGAAAAGAAGGTCACGGTGACCTACTTTTCAGTTGACATTTTTCAAGAACCCAAGATGCATCAACTTACAAAGTTTTATGATCATAGGCCTTAAATTGTCCAAATTATGCCTCAAAAATGCTTTGAAATCGAATGCCTGCAAAGTTCAAAAAGTAGGTCACTGTGACCTACTTTTTAATTAATACTTTTTATGGCCCCAAGATGCATCATCTTACAAGATTTAATGATTCTAAACCTGTCAGTATTTGAATTAATGACCTTAATTGTTTTGAAAAAGATTCAAAAAGTAGGTCAAGGTGACCTACTTTTTATTTGACATACTCTGAGGACCCAAGATACATCAACTGACAAAGTTTGATGATCATAGGCCTTAAATTGTTCAAAATATGCCTCTAAATCATTTTGAAAAAGAATGGCCGCAAAATTTAAACAAGAGGCCCATGGGCCACATCACTCACCTGAGCACATTGGCTAGACTAAGGCACAAATCAGTTCAGTAATGAACGGGAGGGGGGGGGGGTTGAATTTTAATCTACCTGATGATGCTTCCATGTCAATATAACAAATGAATTTGTTGTACTTGAGAAGATTTTAAAAGAATTTTCCCATTTATTTCTTTGTAAAAATTTGATCCCCCATTGTAGCTCCTCCCTATCTCAGGGGTCATCATTTGAACAAACTTGAATCTACATTACCTGAGGATGCTTCATATCAATAAGACTAACATAGCTTTTCTGTTCTTGAGAAGAAATTTTTTTTCTACATGTTCTTATGTAAAACTTTTGATCCCCCATTGGGCCCTGCCCTACCCCGTGGGGTCATCATTTGAATAAAATTGAATCTACACTTCCTGAGGATGCTTCCATATAAATTTGACTCATCATGGCTTTGCTGTTCTTGAGAAGAAGATTTTTCCTATATATTTCTATGTAAAACTTTGATCCTCCATTGTGGCCCCGCCCTACCCCTGGGGGTCATCATTTGAACAAAATTGAATCTACACTTCCTGAGGATGTTTCCATATAAATATGACTCTTCATGGCTTTACTGTTCTTGAGAAGAAGATTTTTAAAGATTTTTCCTATATATTTCTATGTAAAACTTTGTTCCTCCATTGTGGCCCCACCCTACCCCTGGGGGTCATCATTTGAACAAAATTGAATCTACACTTCCTGAGGATACTTCCATATAAATATGACTCTTCATGGCTTTACTGTTCTTGAGAAGAAGATTTTTAAAGATTTTTCCTATATATTTCTATGTAAAACTTTGATCCTCCATTGTGGCCCCACCCTACCCCTGGGGGTCATCATTTGAACAAAATTGAATCTACACTTCCTGAGGATGCTTCCATATAAATATGACTCTTCATGGCTTTACTGTTCTTGAAAAGAAGATTTTTAAAGATTTTTCCTATATATTTCTATGTAAAACTTTGATCCTCCATTGTGGCCCCGCCCTACCCCCGGGGATCATCATTTGAACAAACTTGAATCTACACTACCTGGGGATGCTTCCACATGAGTTTCATCTTTCCTGGCCCTGTGGTTCTTGAGAAGAAGATTTTTTAAAGATGCTATTCATTTTCACTAATTCTTAATTATATCCCCTTGAAAGGGGGCATGGCCTTTCATTTGAACAAACCTGAATCCCCTTCACCTAAGGATGCTTTTTGGCAAGTTTGGTTGAAATTGGCCCAGTGGTTCTGGAGAAGAAGTCGAAAATGTGAAAAGTTTACAGACAAACGGACTACAGACAAATTGTGATCAGAAAAGCTCACTTGAGCTTTCAGCTCAGGTGAGCTAAAAAGTAGGTCAACGTGACCTACTTTTGAGTCAACATGATATGAGGTCCTTAGATGTATCAACTGACAAGATTTGATGATCCTAGTCCTTATAGTAAACAAAATATCAACATTTTAATAAAATGTAATTTTTGGTCAACTTTGAAGTGACCTTGAGACCACGCCCTTTGCCCCAGGGTGATGCCTTGAACAATTTTTAATCTACAACATATCCTCATCCTTTTGTGTAAGTTTGGTGATAATCTGCCCAGTGGTTCTTGAGAAGAAGATTTTTTAGCAACCAGTACTTTTGTTTCTATTTTCCTAATTATCTCCCCTTGTTTAAGGGTCACAACCCTAGTTTTAGTATAAACGGGAGCCCTTTGGCCAAGGATACCCTGTGAAAAATTTGACAATAATTGGCCAAGGGGTTCTTGAGTTATGGCCCATATTCTAAAAAGTTTACGCACACAGCACAAATGGCCATAGCATTAGCTCTTTGAGCCTATGGCTCAGAAGAGCTAAATATATACTTATAAATTAATAGAGTTTGCAAATAAACTCTGAAACACCTACACCAAAGTTCATACTTAGTCCTCTTGTATTACATTCTCTGTAAACTTAGGTTTCACTTGAATAATAATTATCGTAAATTAAATTGAAAGTCTACTTTCATTTTTGACAAACAGTCATGAATGAGCAAAATGAGAACTTTTGGTGGTGGTCCCAGTTGGCAGATTAAGTTGCTGGCAATTTTTAACAGACGGTCATTTACTGTCACTAAACCTACTAAGATGTACTGAAATTGTTCCGTCACTATTAGTTAAAATTCAATTTCTCTTGCTTGCACAGGATTTCATCTTTTATTCTATAAAGAGGCTTTCTGACCAAATTTAGCAGGCTCTCAACATCCCAAACCACAGCCAAAATGTACAATTCTTGCCCCACTCTGGCTATGGTGGAATTTGACTGGTAAGAGAATATTTTGTCGATCATTAAAATACTGACCAATGCAAGTAAAGCATGATCAGAAAATAACCTTTGATGCAACCTTATAATATCCAATCATAATTTATGTAACATTTATTGTATATTGTTCAATATAATTGCAACATAAACAATTAATTTCATTGGTTTATAACATGATGTCACACATAAGGTTGATTATTCAAGACGATGACAAACTTTAACAATACTTTATGTGCTAAGTAGCCACAAGTAGGAGAGAGTTAAAAATTGACTCTTGACCATGGCTTGAGATGCAGACCTCTAAATTTTAGGTCCCAGCTGGCACCTTCTCAAAAAAATTTAGTCGCCAATGCAAATTTTTAGTTGCCAGGCAATTTTTTTAAGGCGCCAACTTAAAAAGGTAACAGTAATCAATATAGGGACCCATGACGTGACTACAGAAAACATAACATGTCCATTGCTAAAAACAAGTTTAACTAGAACTGTCCAAAAGGGACAAATACCCCCCGTTGGGTTTTTCAGAGAAGGTACCAAATCACTAATGTTTTCTAGATGTGAGAGGTGTTCACAATTTGCTTAAACATTTAGAGTGAAAATTTAATTACTCATTATATTTTTTTTAATGAATGAAACTAAGGTGCAGCCTAATAAAACATCAATACTAGTAATTACAGTGTTCTTTATTACACTGAAAAAATAGTTTGCAACTATATGTCATCTTTGTGAGACATGACACTCTGCAAATTGATTGTTGAAAAAAAAAATCATAATTTAATTATACAAAATCAAATTGATCTTAATACCTTTATATCAAACTCATTTTAAAAATAAAAGGCTGGTTCCAGTAACTATGTATTTTGACAGACATAAATTACAATTAAGAGACTTAGACAACAGAGATCTTTATTTCTTTCTGCCCAATTCCCAGGAGATATAGATAAGACCTGCTTGATCAGAGATGCCCTAACAGCTTCCCACACTGAACTCATTAATTAATCTTTAACTGGATGCATGTCCACTCATTACTTCCAAGGGACAAATGGATTTACATTATCTGCTGTGTAATGTAAAAACTGTTTTTAATACTTTGTGATTTTTTTTTAGTTCTAATGAGTAGTTTTAAGCTGTAGTTCACATTTTTGTACAGATGTTCTAGATTCTATGTCTCAAACCTTATACATGAACCCGAAATGACTAAGTCAATAAAAATGAAAAAAAAACACCTGTAAAATGCAGAAAAATGATCAAATAATGTTGAAAATACCAGGTGCACATCTTCATACGGTAAATAATAAGTGTACAAATTTTCATACAAGTCTATGCAATAGTCTCTGGGAACAGATCTGGACAAAACCACGTAATAAAGATGAAAAATACATCTGTAAAATGCAAAAAAATTACTCAATCATGATGAAAATTCCAGGTGCACACATTCATATGGCAAAGAATAAGTATACAAATTTTCAGACAAATCCTTGCAACAATTTCCAAGAAATGGTCCGGACAAAATCTCGTCTACAGACAGACGGACAGACAGACAGACGGACAGACAGATGGACAAGCTGATTCCAATATACCCCCCCAAAACTTCGTTTGCGGGGGGTATAATAATTTCCTCTTCTTTTAAATTTCTTTTAGCTTTTTAAAAAAAATTGTTTAAAATGTTAAAACTTCCGGAATTAAAAGATCACCAAGTCAATTTAAAATGGTCACCAATTTGGCGACTTAAGGAAAAGTTTTAGGCACCAATCAAAAATGGGAGGCTCGATCTCTGACCATAATTTAAGGTATGCTTAGACGAGGGCTGTTTTCGTGTAGGTTCTATCCTCAGTTACCTGATTTTATGCTTGGTAATGACTGCCCTGCCCTCTGAATCTAGAGCCTCTAACTCATCACTGGAAAACTCGCTCACATCACCATAGTGACTGACTTTTCCATCCACTTTGGGGTTTAGGTCTTTATAGAGACCCTCCTCAGCTTCTATTGGGGTTGCAGAACTTTTACAAAATGTTGCAACACCTATAATTTATATGCTTGTATCACAATCAAATCATATTGGTTATTGATCATGAATGAAATCTTTATATACTTGCGGAGTTATTGCTACTCAAAACTTACAAGACAATGTACACTATCCCTAACCAAAAGTAGCTTGTCAGCTTGACCCTACTGGTTTGTACTCAACATAATAATTGAAGAAAAAAGTTTCATCTATATTTCAAACACTTGCTTTTACTCCCCTGCCAGTGAAACCACAAGGTGATTATAGTTTTTTCTCCATCTGTGTGCTGTCTGTCCCCCTATCCCACTTGGTTTTCCAGACCCCCCCCCCAACATTGCATTTTTGGTATGTGAATCTATCTGAATGAGTTACAGATCAAGTTCACATTTCATTCTGATGATTTTTGATGGAATTATGGCCCATACCAGTAAGGGACTTAAAATGCCTTTCTTAAAAAGTAAGTTTTACATATTCAGAATTATGTATCATGATTAGGGATGTCAACAATTCTACTACGATTATTGCAAAGATCAAAGAAATGCCATGGACATTATTCTCCAATAAATCACGAACGTCATCAAAAAATTATCAGATCAGAAACACATGTCAAACCTGTACAGTTGAAATAAATATTTCACTGTATAATCTAATACTTATTTAGACCAATGGATGTGTCGTCTTACGCAATTTAAACGTGTGTATCGCTGAAACAGTTGATAAATATCCATTTTTATAGCCAAGTGGGGCTGTTCCACGGACCTCCCCACAACATTTACACTCCCGTGATTTTACTGATAAAGCAATGAAATAGACAACTGGTTTTGTTATTTTACATTCATAAAAATTAATCAATAAATGTATGTTACAAACAAATTTATAAATAATTAAAGGATATTTTTAATCCAATGAAAGCTGAAATCGTCTGCATTTTATGCAATCGATTGATCCTCTGGTGTTAAATGGAATAGCAAAATTGCGACATGGTGACCTAATTTGTTTCTCTATAGAGAAAACGATCAGCTGTATTTAAGAGCTGTTAGTAGAATAGAAATAAAGTCCTTGTTGTCGTGAATGATGCAGGATAACCTCCTCCGTCTCGAAATGTTGTCTGAAATATAAAAGCCTCTGCTAATGCCTCGGCTTTTATATTTCAGACAACATTTCTTGACCTCGGAGGTTTTCCTGCAACATTCACAATAATGCGGACTTTATTTCTTAAATATTTGACTATCCATTGAATGGACCGACAATCAAATAATGAAGCGCAATTCGAATTTTATTATTAAATAAATGCAATAAAAGAGTGAAAATGAGAATTGAAAAACCGTCTTTCCTCAGAGACAGTCAACAAGATAATTTTCCTAAATTAAACGGTTGACTTTCCATGTACATATAGAAAGTACAGTAATTGTAAGTCCTTCATTACCGCAAGAATTATTTGTCATTTACCGCCTGTATATTATCCATCAATATACTGGGCCTTGTTTGCAAAATTATTAATAGCGCTTGATCTTATACCATGTATTAATTATAATTTATTTTAAGAATGTTCAAATGCAGGGAACACACCACAGCTGTGACATGTTTTGACACTTCAATAATTATTAAAACAATTCGCTTACATTTTAAGGACATTTTGATAGCTGGAGCAATAAATAATTGAATCATAAAATTCACTGTTTAACAATATCAAAGGCACCTGCATGATGTGTGGATAGTGTGAGATTACCCCCTATCTGCACCCCAATTTATTTCATAAAAAGCTTTAAATGCTGGCAATTTTTAAATGCTTTAAGTTACTAAAATAAAAACTGATTGTACAGACCAATTAATGAATTTGATTGATGGGAAAATTAGCTGTCTAAATATACTTGTATTTCATATATTTTTTAAATAGAATTAAATATAAGGTTTTTTGAATTATAAATGCATCATATACCAGTGAAGTTTGAAATAAATTTTATTTTCAGAAATGTTCCAAATATTCAACTATCGTTCGAATAACATGAATAATGCAATCAAATAATCGACTAAGGAAAATATTGACATCCCTATATAATCATGATGTTTTCTAAACTTGTACCAAGTTTTATCAAAACTGGACCAAAACTAAAGGAAGTGTAAAATTTTGAAAAATTGTTTACAGGTACAGCTGGACAGAAGGATGATGGATACTTTGCCATTGAATAAGCTCTTCTGGACTTCCACCAGTAGAGATTTTATACCAATTAAAAACTGTGCTACTTAGTGTGGAGAGAAAAGTGTTTTTGCAAATATGCAGTACACTAATAATTTTGAACAACAAATATAGTATATGTAATAAATTCAATTATTTTTGACAAATGCAGATGTCATGACATTATAATCTTACCAGAATATCCACTTCGCTTCTTTGAGAATGAGAAGTAGGAGTTATAGCCTTCTACTATTGCTGTAGGCTCATCCAGCATGTCTCCTGAAATAAGTTTCGAAGCATGTTTTTTATTTTAGATCAGAAATCATAAGTGCTACACCAGAATTACTGGTATTTCCTGGGAAATACTGGGAAAAAAGAAATACCTACATATTTCATAATTTTAATTATATTTGTGGGGGGTATTGACATGTAGAACACCTTATTGGCTAAGATATCTACCTGGTATCACTGTCTCTGATTTGAAAATTTCTGGTGTCCAAGTAATTCTTTCAATATAATCATAACACAGTTTATTCATTTACCAGTCATGAGTGTCATTTGTTTTATTTGTTTCATGTTTGAGTCAGATGTAGTCAGTCTATAAACTTCCATTTAATGAACCCAAAGATCCCTATTGGGTTTTTATGCAACCAAAGAAGGTTCTAAGAAAATTGTTAAATGTAGAGTGTGGTGTAAATATCAAACCTAAGAAGAGGCTTTTCAGTTCTACTCAAGGTAATTATATCTCAAAACAGGAGCACAAAACTGTCCAGAGCAATTTGTTAAAACAACATGAAAATCATTGATTATAATAACTACATTGTTTATAGAAAAATTAAAACAAGTGCGTTTTGTTCTTGGGTTTATAATTAATAAACTTGATAATTTTACAAAACTGAAAAGAAACTTGAATTGGAAAACTTCTGTTTTGTTTTTTAATATACAGCCAAGGAAATGTGAACAGCTTCAGAATGCATCCTTATGGGTGGGGGACCTGGATTCTGAATAATTATGTTAAATTGCAGTTTGAGACGTATTCAATATTATTCATTATCCATTTTTATATTTATTTTATTTCTGAATTTTGTATAAAATTGAATGAATTAAAGAAATAAAAAGTTTAACAATGTAGTATTTCCCAGTATTTCTCAATATTTCCCAGTTTAGAGAAAATTTGTAGTATTTCCCGGGACTGGAAATACTGGTATTTACCACTGGTAATTCCCACTACTGGTATTTCCTGGCCAACCCTGGTTTCCGTATCCCATATTTATCATCTACAGATACTATGAAGCTGTAGGACAGAGGATTAATGTCTTCATGTATTGTTGTGACAAGGCCATCAGTTTTTGTATTTGCCCAAACAATACAACTGTAGTCTACAATACTTCCCTAATTCAAAGGCTAGTATATAAGCCCCCCCCCCCCTTATTTTGAATAGTTCATTATGAAAGTTCTGAAACATTTGTGATTATCATGTCTCAGTTTTGAAATATCTGAGTTAGCATACACAGAACTGGTATATTAAATATTGAACCAGTACCTTATAATGTGCTAAGTTGGAATACTTCTATTACATTTTACTGGTACCTTAATTCTGATGGTATACTGCTTTTTTTTTTATCTAACTGTGGCAGTCAGAGTGTTTGACCTGATGCAGTGGTGCCTGAGAAACTATAGATCACTTTTTTGGAGGGCCTAACCATCATTTACTGATTGATAAGAGAGATGTTTTAAGAAATATAGGAGAAAAATTTCAGTGGATGTAAATATTATATAATTAGTATATCCATCATTGGCTTTTTTTTTATCATTTCCATGGGCTCATCAAGAGGGGAATTAAGACTAGATATTACCATTACAATGAAAAACTAGTGTTAACTGTAATGGGAACCATTACAGATGTTCCCCAAAACACTCCCCCACTCGCTTATGGGCCCATTCCCTACAAGCTTCATTAAATTAGGCAATTCTTTTGTGTAAAAAATGTACACTTTTTTTCAGAAGTATTTAATCGAAAAACAGCACCGGTATAGTCCTTTGATATTAGCCAATCAGATTTCAGAGCACATGCAGGCCCATGATTTCTAGATATTTCAGGCTTCCTTGAAAACATGGTAAAGAGATTCACAATAAATACCTATGTAAGAAATCTCAAACATTTTCAGTGAAAACTATGGAGATACAGCCATATGAGTATTAATTACTAGCCAATCAGAATCCAGCACTGCCTGCACACATGCATGCATAATCTTGCATTCAATTTTGATAGTAGCACAATGTAGGAACCCATTATACCTATCTATATTCTAAATTTTATCCTGTTTTGTTAAAAACTAAAAAAGTTACAGCCATTTTAAGTATATGCCAATCACATTGCAGCACACGTGCAAGCATGCGTTTCACTATATCTCATATATATCATAATGTAGAACCTCTTTATGTTTGACTATGTTTTAAATTTCAAAGTATTTCATAAAAAACAAGAAAGTTATTTAGATTTTTTTTGTCAGCGAATCAGAGCAAAGCATGCACATGCTTTCTTGCTAATTCAACCACCTCATCTTGTCTATCTACAACATTAATATATGTTCAAAGCATATCATCAAAAAATCAGTCAGGGGCATGATGGAATAAGTTATTTTTTGAAATAACTTTTTTAGGTTACTTCACTTATTTACTACTAAACAAAGAAATAACTCATTTGAGTTAATTCTTAAAATGTAGAATGCCTATCAATTTTGCCAAAAAACATCAATATTTTGAGTTTGCTGCTGATTTAAGATGATGTAAGGCTGAGAAAGTTGTAAATATATGTACTTCTTTTAATAGACTCAACAGACTGACTTCATATCTCCTGAGCAGATATGATGATATTTATCAAAATATCATGATATTTTTCAGGGAAAAATAATTCCATTTCATGAACATTTCAGAGGTCAATTACACAACTTCTGCCAATTTTGCCAACAGTGAGACTAATTTTCTTAAAATCCTTGGATATTACAGTACAATCTCTATGTCTTACATTTTTTGTGCAAAGCTGTAGATTTTTGTGCAAGAGTTCTAAAGTGAGGTTGATTAAGGTTGAAATAACTGAAATCAGTTATGATTTGTTGAATTTCAACTTGTTAAATCTTAAAGATAGATTACTTTTACTGTCATGAACCTTTACCATCTACTTATATAACCCAAGTACAGCATGAGTAAAGCTTTTCAGATACCAGTAGGTTTAAAATAATGAATAGTAAAGTATCAATAACTGGAATAAGTTACTGAAGAAAAGCATAATCAGGGAAAGATAACCCAAAATAATGACATTTAATAACTTAAACAAATTATTTTAAAAATAAATTGTTTCCATGATGCCCTTGACTGAAATAGGAAGGTTTAAAGCACATTCATGCAAGTGCACACGAAATGACCTTCGTTTCGCACATCTACACAACATGCCTGTTAACCCTTAAAAGGTTTCATCCCAATTGGATGAGTAGTTTGGAGAACATAAAAAAAAAGAACCATTTCTCAGGTTACTTTCGAACTCAATATGTATGGACAATATCATGCCACAAGTACATAGTTAATGTCTATAATAAGTGCATTAACTGGAACAAAAATGATGTACCGGTATGTACCGGTACTCCAGAATGGAGTATACCCTCAAAAGGGGTTATCGGTCCCTTCATACGATGTGCAAGAACAGTAACTCTTGCCATATTCAATATAAAGAAACATGCATATGTTATATCTATCTTAACAAGAGGCCCATGGGCCACAATGCTCACCTGAGTAACTTTGGCCTTGCTGTTCTTCACCAGATTTTCCCCCTTGTAATACTTATTGTGGCCCCACCCTACCCCCGGGGGGTCAAGATTTGAATTTAGAATCTACACTACCTCAGAAGGCTTCCACACAACTTTCAGCTTTTCTGGCCTAGTGGTTCTAGAGAAGAAGATTTTTTAAAGACCCCACCCTATTTTTGTCTTTTCTTGACTATATCTTTAAGAAAAATAAAGATATCAGGAAGAATAATATATTTCTTTTATAATTTCAATAAAATATACTGATTGTCTTTGTCTGTTTATCAAAATCTAAATTACCTGGAAGTTAACTTTGACAGTGAAAAAATTCTGATATGTACAATAAAGTTATATTTTGTAAAATACAATCTCTTTAAACATCTTTAATGTATCATTTAAGAGTGGTTTACATTTGCAAAATAATCTGATACTTCCCACCAGCATTTTTTATGCATCTGCACATGTGAATACTCTGTTTTGGAGGTACATGTATATGACTTGGCTATTTTCAATTACAGTAAAACTTGGTTATAGCGAAGCTCCAGGGACCTGAGAATTTACTTTGCTATATCCATAATTCGCTATAACGAATTCATTTAAATCTATATTGCAAATTTGCAATATACATGTTTTTTTCCATATGTTCACCAAATATGTCCAGAAAAGCATTAAACAGGGCTCGACATTAACTTTTTTTCCTACTTGTCCATTCGGACAAGTGACCAAGACATTTACTTGTCCGAACTTCAACTTCACTTGTCCGAAAATTTTTCAATAAAGATCTAATACTGTCAACTTGAAAACTAAAATAAAGTCCATTACACATGACATGTGCTTGATTGATTAGTGATGTTATTGATATTTACAACAAACACATAAAACGAAATTTTATCTAGGCTTTCTGTCCTGACAACAACATAAATGTCCACAAGTGAACCAAACTTCGTTACGTTCGTAAGAGTGAACTTCGATCCCGATCCAATGTGAACTCAATTAATATCGATCCCTATCGGGATCGAAGTCCGGTTTTTATGTACAGCTTCCGTCTTGAAACTACCGATTAACTTTCACAGTCGATCTTACTATTATTTAGAGACTCTTTACATTAAAATGCACTTGTCCAATCGGACAAGTGCCCAGCAATATTCACTTGTCCGTAATTTTTTTTCACTGGTACCGGGCAAGCGGACAAGCGTTAATGTCGAGCCCTGTTAAATACAAAATTTTTCTTCAATAACAAAATTTCCTGGAGAATTGAATTATAGATAATTATGAATACATGTACTTACAAAAAATGTCAGTTAAATAATTTAATTTTTGAGATCTTTGAAAATTTGTTATAAAAGATGTAAATTTCATTATAACGATAAAATATTACAAAAAATTGTTAAGAATTGCAGAGGATTCAAAAAAACATCGCTATTTCTGTAAATATATGCTGTATAAATGTTCGTACTAATTACTAAACAAGTTTTACTGTACTTTGTTTTGGGGCATTTGACGACACTGATGGAACTGAAATCAATAAGCTTTTTGTAAAAATTTAACTTGAATCAATTCCTGCCTTATAGGTTATATTATTTCTTTATCATGATTATTTCTGCTTTTGTTAAGACATCCTTACAAAGTCAGGGGTCCGGTGTCAACTTGTTGCTTTGTGACTCCTGATAAATTTTGTTTGAGGTTTGCATCTCTCATTAAAAAGCACCCATCAAATTGAAGTAGAGAGATAATGTAAACAGAGAGGAATCACTTGACACCTAAAATGTGTTACACTGTTCAGCATCAAAAGGCTTAATGTAACTGGTTGATCGAGAGATAAGAAAAAAATAGAAATTTATAATTTTCCTGAAAGATGTCACTGCAGTCAGCCTGTAAGATGTAAAATGAAATTTGTCAGAGGTCCCCTGGCAATGAGTTGACACAGGACCCCAGGTGACTTTGTGAGGATGTTAAGACGAAGTCATTCTTTAACCTTCTTCATAACTTTTATACCCCCCCCCCACTTCGTATAAATCACTATATATTAAAAAAATATTTGCACCCTTAAAAATTTTGTTTAAAATTATATCTTTATATTCTTCTAAATCTCAGGATAATATTTACTGCATAATATACGTCTCAGGTCCAAGTGTAAATAAAAGGGGGTCTCTGGATTAAAGAAATGTTTTACTTGTGACTTTCGTTTCTTGGAGGCATATAACATCTGCATCAAGAGAATCGAACAATGAAGACAACTCCACTTTACTGGCACGGATTCCGTTTATGTTCCATGTTAACAACTTCATCTTCATAACCACATGTGAGACCAGAGACGTGAGTTGTTAGCATTAATAACCTAAACCGTGTCAAAGCTCCATCTAAACCAATAAAAAATACAGTTATCAATCTTTCGTTAAAATAAAGCTTTTCAAGAATAATTTGTAAATAATAATAATAATAAAAAAAAAAGTAAAAATTTTAAAACGTAGGATACCTTTGCCTTTGGAGAAACTACTTTTACCATGAGCTAACCTGTAACCAAAGCGTTCAAGGAACTATTCGTTGGTGCAATATATTTTACCACCTATTAAAAACACGTCTAAATTGCTTGCAAAATAAAAGAATAAGACTTAATTAAATAAGTTAATAAATGATTATAATTATTTGTAGCGGAATGTACTGATTCTTTTACTTATTAGTATGTTAGGAGTTAATACACCTCCACTTGTTTAATTTTTCCCGCCATTTTAATTCGAAAACGAAACTACTATAATAGTTGCCGAGTTGGAAAAAACTACAAAATAACCAGAAAGGTAAAAAAGGTTAAAATCCTTTTTAAACGTTTGTTTAGTATTGGAAGAAAAGGAGTATTTTAATTTCTGCCAATTGAAGTGTAAGGTAGTTGGTAGGTCATAGAGAATATGGGAATTTATTTTGTCAGACAGTGCTTGGTTGGAAATAGCAGACACAGAGACATAAATTCGCAAACTCAGCCTTTAAGTGATTAACAGGTCTATTTGCAAAAATATGTTCAAATGACATCTCTGCATTTATTTCCTTGATCCACTGCCAAACGTGCCTTTGCATTCTTCAGCTTTCTTCTATTCTAGCCTTTTCTAGGCACATAGTCAGGTCCAGTCCAAAGACTATTTCTACCTACGTAGTTATTAATAGCTACGTTCGATGTTCTCCTTATAGAAACATCGAACAGCGCTTCAAAAGTTTCCTTGACTTCTAGTTTGATTGCAGTATAAGGAAAAAATTTACATCCACTGTTTTTAACTATTGACGTATCGTACATATAAAGAGTAGACAGGCATCATGAAAAACTTCACCATTGTTACACAGTATGAGTTATGAAGTACAGACTTTCTCAATCCCGCGCTTCTGTCATTTCTCAACCACGTGTTCCGAAGTTTTGATGTAAAGTCAGGAAAAAAAATGTACTCGGATATTATTGGATGCGCGGGCAGACAAATTTTTTTGATAATATTATAATTTGGATTTGTTACAAATAGAAGCAGCGAATCCGACGAACTATGCGTATGTTGCAAATTGGTATGGCCTTAGTCAAATGTGGGTAATGTTGCAGGGGTCGAAATTAATGGGAAATACTCGCTAAATGCAAATTAAAAACAGAAATTGCGAGTTAAAAGCGACCTGTGGTCACCAAGCTTTGTGAGTTAAAAAAAAAAGTCTTTTTTTTAGTTTATTCCAGGTATGTGCATTGCCTCATACCTGAGACTACCATTTTTGGGGGGTCGGGCTAGTTATTTTATGCACAGAAGTAGCCCCTCGGGCTAATAAAAATTAAAATTACCCATGTAATACATGAAAAGCATTACAGGTATTTTATTCCCTTTTTTTTGCTATCAAATTCTCAATCAATAAAAAATTTCCAGGTAGTATGTTCCTATAGTTCGTAAATCTCCATAATCTTATCCATTTTGCAGTTCTACCTGACTTATTTACTTCCAAAAACAATCATTTTTTCCTAATCCGAATTTCCTAGTCCATTCCTTCATCTATGGTAAATTCATGTAGATATCCCATTTAATTATTTACGATCACTTAATCAACTAGAGAAAAAGTCTTATGTGATTTTCAAAAAATATATTTCAAGAGTATTTAATGATTTAAGATGAAAAAAAAATATGAAAGATAATTTATTTTTAAATTATTTTTTTTCATTTTCAATCATAATTGATTCATATACGATTCAATTTTTCTATTGAGAATTAAACTTTAAATTTTAAAAAAGAATGACTTTAAGACCCTGACTTTTTCAATGATGAACTATTTTTCTTTCATTGTTAATTACTTTTTCCCTTACATTTGAGCTAGTAACTTTTTACTTGGGGCTACTAAACTGTGAGCTACTGTATCCGGTCAGATTTCACCTTGTATAAAATGACCTTAATACTCACAAGGTGTAAATAAGTTTTCTGTTAAATCATTCAAATAATCCCTATGTTAATTACTATGAGAAAAAAATGCTAGTGAAAGTTCAATATTTCTAGTAAATAAAAATTCCACTAGCTAAAATTTGCTAGTGGTCAAAAAAGTTAATTTCGATCCCTGTGTTGTAAGGCCAGCGTTTTTTTTAGCTCCTCTGAGCCAAGATCTCAAAGAGCTAATGCTATGGCCATTTGTGCGGTGCATGTAAACTTTTTAGAATATGGGCCATAGCTCAGGAACCACTTGGCCAATTATTGTCAAATTTGTCACAGGGTATCCTTGGCCCAAGGGCTCCCATTATACGAAAACTAGGGTTGTGACCCTTAAACAAGGGGAGATAATTAGGAAAATAGAAACAAAAGTACTGGTTGCTAAAAAATCTTCTCAAGAACCACTGGGCAGATTATCACCGAACTTACACAAAAGGATGAGGATATGGTGTAGATTAAAAATTGTTCAAGGCATCATCCTGGGGCAAAAGGGCATGGTCTCAAGGTCACTTTAAAGTTGACCAAAAATTACATTTTATTAAAATATTGATATTTTGCTTACTATAAGGACTAGGATCATCAAATCTTGTCAGTTGATGCATCTAAGGACCTCATATCATGTTGACTCAAAAGTAGGTCACGGTGACATACTTTTTGAATTTTGTGGCCATTCTTTTTCAAAATGATTTAGAGCAATATTTTGAACAATTTAAGGCCTATGATCATCAAACTTTGTCAGTTGATGCATCTTGGATTGTCAGAGTACGCCAATTAAAAAATAGGTCACCTTGACCTACTTTTGAAATTTTATGGCTAATCTTTTTCAAAACATTTAAGGTCATGAATTCAAATAATGAGAAGTTTAGAATCATTAAATCTAATAAGATGGTGAATCTTGGGGCCATAAAACATATTAATAAAAAGTAGGTCACAGTGACCTACTTTTTGAACTTTGCAGGCATTGAATTTCAAAGCATTTTAGAGGCATATTTTGGATATTTTAAGGCTTATGATCATTAAACTTTGTAAGTTGATGCATCTTGAGTTCTCGAAAAACATAAGTGAAAAGTAGGTCACTGTAACCTACTTTTGAAATTTTATGGCTATATTGAAATAGTTTGGGTACTATTTGGCTTAGAATCATCAAACTTTGTCAGCTGATGTATCTTGGGTCATCAGAGTAGGTCGACTGAAAAGAAGGTCACCGTGGCCTACTTTTCAATTTATATGGCTATAATTAAATATTTTGGGTACAAACTTTGTCAGTTGATGCATCTTTGGTCCTGGAGTAAGTTGACTGAAATTACAGAGACCTACTTTTGAAAATTTTTTTTTTTGGCTTTAATTAAATATTTCAGGTACTAATTCGCTTAGAATCATCAAACTTTGTCAGTTAATGCATCTTGGGTCATCAGAGTATGACAACTGAAAAGTAGGTCACAGTGACCTACTTTTGAAATTTTATGGCTATATTTAAATATTTTCGGGTACTATTTGGCTTAGAATCATCAAACTTTGTCAGTTGATGCATCTTGAGTCCATGGAGTACGTCTACTGAAAAGTAGGTCACCGTGACCTACTTTTTCAATTTATATGGCTATAATTAAATATTTTAAGTACTGATTGGCTTAGAATCATCAAACTTTGTCAGTTGATGCATCTTGAGTCGTCTGAGTAAGTTGACTGAAAAGTAGGTCACCATGACATATTCTTGAAATTTTATGGCTTTATTTACCGGTAAATATTTCAGGCACTGATTGGCTTAGAATCATCAAACTTAGTTAGTTGATGCATCTTGGGTCCTCAGAGAATGACAACTAATAAGTAGGTCACCATGACCTACTCTCAAGTACTAATTGGCTTAGAATCACATCAGACAGAGGCATTGCACTTCGGTCAGGTCCATTGGTCTAATGTCTTTCGCATAGACTGGCTTAGGATGCCAAATTTTACATTTTCTAGGAGAGATTTTTGAGAAAGTCCATCCCTACCTAGACAAAAGTACCTAAATATTGCATATATTAATGCACAATTCCAGAACATTAGTTTGAGACCAAACACAACAGCTGTATCATTAATTTACTTAAAAAAAAAAGCAGAACAACAGACTTGTCGAAATTTTTAAATCATTGTTAGACATTTGGTCTGACAAAGTCAAATGTTCTGTCGGACCAGTCAAAGTTTTCTTAGACCAGATACATGTACCTTATTTTGATGCTGTGAAAGTGATATGAATAACAGCACCAAAATGCCCTGGATTATTTTCAACAGCCTTCAATCTTACAAGTTTCCTTCCTTGAGATAGAAAGTCTTTAATAAAAGACAAAAATGACATGTTTTATGACTTTGCTTAACAAATTTAATTGACTATAGTCAACACGCCGCGTACATGGCCATTTTTTCTGTGTTTGTGACCTTCAGCTGCACATCCCGATCCTGACCTTTATTATATTTGCATCACGCTTGATTTTTTCAAATGGTAATCTAGACCGACGTTTTCTTCAAAGTTGTCGGTCCAGACAAATTTTTACCAGCCTTGCCGACAGGACCGACAGATTTCGACAAGTCTGTAACAAATTGAATTACTTTGACCATGTTTGGCCCTTTTTACTTTTTCAAAGTGCTATTCCACAGTGAATACAATTTTTATATACTATTGAATTTTTGCTGTTAAAATGACTTATTTTACTTTCATTGAAATCAGCATTATGGAGGAGATTCAGACTTTGACAGATAAGGAATTGGTAGATGAACTACGAAAGCTTGGAGCAAATCCTGGTCCAATTATTTGTGAGTACATATACGAAATACAGTACAAACTGCTGTAGTGGTCACTAATGATGGGACATCGGTTAATTTTCATAATCGATCAGAGGTGGTTATTGCTTCCGATGCGATTTTACCGATTATAATTGGATTTCATAGTTTTGTATATAAAAAGCAGACTATTACAATCATTTCATATTATTTCTTTAACATGAATATATAAAATATATAATATATTATTTTCTTTGTTTATTTGCTTCTTTTACACTTTCTATATAATCATCTCTGCTTCGTGCTAGTTGACTAGTATCAGATGCAGAGGCCATTTTCTTTCATTAAGAAGAAATAAATTTTAAACCAGAAATGGATAATTCTGGAATGTATTGTATTAGAAATATGTTTCCGATGATCGATTATGAAAAATTATAATCAATCATCAGAATAGTTAGCATATTGACGTCAACAACGGATGTTTACTTATAATCGGTACAACACTAGTGCGGTCACCTATATTAGGCAGTCACTCCTTGTATACAGCCACTGTTTTTCCTACCAATGCAAAATCCTATATAATTTCTTTTAACACCAAGTAACTTTTATCAATCAACCCAAAGTACGCTGAATAACTTAGACCATCATAAGAAAATTTTGATTGGAAAAGTTCACTTGAGTCTTTGGCTCAGATGCGCTAAAAAAAAGGGGGGGGGGAGTAGGTATTGGATTTATGAGTATGTTTTCTATTTCTATAGCTTCAACAAGAAGTGTGTATGAGAAGAGATTGCTGAAACTGAGGAGTGGAGGAAGTTTGATCACAAAACAAAGCTCTCGAAAACATTATTGTAAGTCGGTTTTACTTCAGAGAAAACTGGAAAAGCCTTAAAGATATTTTTATATGCCTGTCTTAAGACGGGACATTTAAGGAATCATTGTCTAGTTAGTAGAGTATGCCAGGGCATCAACGATAGTTGGAAATGTGGGATAATTTGCATAACAGGCAAAGCCCGTTATGCATAAATTATCCCACATTTCAAACTATCATTGATGTCCCTGGCATACTCTACTAACTAGACAGTGATTCCTTATATTTCCATTTCATTGTGAAATAAAATTGTAAACTTAGATTTTAAAAATGTAGATTAATAGATTTAAATTACACAAGGCCTCACATGTCAATTTCAATCAATTTCCCCGCCCACTGACGTCAAACACAAAGACAGCCACACGAGAATTACATGCATATTAGGCCTTCTTAGCTCCTGACCTTTCACTTGGCGAAATTTGCATAAGTGTTTCACAAACATCTCTTGTTTATTTTCACACAAGAAAAACGTTACAGTTGTTCCAGATGAATTTTTAGGTCACCTGAGTCACTCAGGTGACCTATTGCTATCCGTTTTTGTCCGTCGGCGTGCGTCGTGTGATGTGCGTTAACATTTGAACATTTTTAGCTTCTTCTCTAAAACCGCTCAGTCAATTTCAACCAAATTTGGCATATAGCATCTATGGGTGAAGGGGAACAAAAATTGTGAATTTCATGGTCCCTGCCCCCCTGGGGCCTGAGGGGTGGGGCTAAAACCACCAAAATTAATGCAATCTTTAAAAATCTTCTTCTTTACTCCTGGACATCAAGCAGTCAAACTGTTGGCATCATTGTAATGAGCATTGAGTCCTCTACCAAAATTGTGAAATTCATGGCCCCAGGGTCAGGGGTTCTGGTGCTAGGGTGGGGCTATATTGATCATATAGTGAATGTGCATTATTTCTTTGAAAATCTTCTTCTCTGCTCCTGGGTATTAAATAAACTAACTAAGTATATAGTTATGATGAGTAAGAGTGCCTCTTCCAAAATTGTGAAATTCATGGCCCCAGGGTCTGGGATTCTGGTGTTAGGGCAGGGCTCTATTGATTATATAGTGAAAATGCATTAATTCTTTGAAAATCTTCTTCTCTGCTCCTGGGTATTAAATAAACTAACTAAGTATATAGTTATGATGAGTAAGAGTGCCTCTTCCAAAATTGTGAAATTCATGGCCCCAGGGTCTGGGATTCTGGTGTTAGGGCAGGGCTCTATTGATTATATAGTGAAAATGCATTAATTCTTTGAAAATCTTCTTCTCTGCTCCTGGGTATTAAATAAACTAACTAAGTATATAGTTATGATGAGTAAGAGTGCCTCTTCCAAAATTGTGAAATTCATGGCCCCAGGGGCAGGGGTTCTGGTGTAAGGGTGGGGCTTTATTGATTATATAGTGAAAATGCATTAATTCATTGAAAATCTTCTTCTCTGCTCCTGGGTATTAAATTCAGAAACTAAGTACATAGTTAGGATGAACAAGAATGCCTCTTCCAAAATTGTGAATTTCATGGCCCCAGGGGCAGGGTTTCTGGTGTTAGGGCGGGGCTCTATCGACTATATAGTGAAAATGCATTAATTCTTTGAAAATCTTCTCCTCTGCTCCTGGGCATTAAGGTGATAAACTAAGTACATAGTTATGATGAGGAGGTGGGCCTCTTCCAGAATTGTGAAAGCCATGGCCCCTGGGTCAGGGGTTCTGGTGTTAGGGCAGGGCTCTATTGATTATATAGTGAAAATGCTTTAATTCTTTGAAAATCTTCTTCTCTGCTCCTGGGTTTTATTTAAACAAACTAAGTATATAGTTATGATGAGTAAGAGTGCCTCTTCCAAAATTGTGAATTTCATGACCCCAGGGTGAGGGGTTCTGGTGTTAGGGTGGGGCTCTATTGATTATATAGTGAAAATGCATTGATTCTTTGAAAATCTTCTCCTCTGCTCCTGGGCATTAAGGTGATAAACTAAGTACATAGTTATGATGAGGAGGTGGGCCTCTTCCAGAATTGTGAAAGCCATGGCCCCTGGGTCAGGGGTTCTGGTGTTAGGGCAGGGCTCTATTGATTATATAGTGAAAATGCTTTAAGGATACACCAAAGGTTTCCAAATGCCAGAAATTAATTTGCATGTAATTCTTTCATTATCAAAGATAACATAATAAAAGTATATATCATTTGAAAGCTTGTTAAATTTACTATTTAATTATCCTAATTTAAACTTTAATTAATACCTTATTTAAAAATTATTGAAATATTAATGTAAATTTTAGTGCATAAATATTTTATAAATCAACTTTTTTGTATTTAACCTATCAAAGTGGTCATTTTACCTCAAGGTAGATTAAAGATTGAACTTAAAAACCGTACAGGTAAACTTCGTTATCTCGACATCGACGGGACCATCCGAAAATGTCGAGATATCCGAGGTGTCGAGATATCAGAGTTGAGACTTGACGTCCAAGATTTCACTGCATAACCAAACACATACACGTGTATAAACTTATTATACGTACATGACTTCAATATAGACTGTAGGTCAACTTATTTCAGTAATCCATCTATTTTTATTAAAAATCTAAGAAATTATTTTTAAAAATTTTATTTATGAAACCTGTTCTTTCTCTTTATCGAAATCGTTCTAAATTTTTGTAGTTTTCCATTCAGCATTCGCGTGTTACTTGCTTTTTTGTCAGAACAGGATACGAAATGCGCTCTATAAACTTCGAACCGAACCGTATAAACATGATAAAGTCGACATCCGAGATACGAAAACATATGAAGTGCGTAATTATTTTTTTCTTATTTCATTCAGGAAGAATGTGCATTAATATTAATTTTTTAAGAGATTTGTGTATCTAAACTAACGTAGTGATATCACAGATGCATGAATTACGGATGATTCGGTTAATCGTGTCGTAAATCGGATTATTTCCTGTTGAATGCATTTTAACTACGAAATATTATTAGAACATCGTTTAATTCTTTAGTTTGAATTTATTCAATATGTTTATTATTCTTTGTAATTTAGTTATCTTTTTCAGTTTTAAAAGTTATGTTAGGTTTCGACATAAATAAACACCTGTAAATTTAAGCAGAATCGTGCAGATTTATCAGTGATATTACCCAAGCTGAACATTAAGCAATTAACGTCTCAAAGACGCCGAGGGGGGCTTTGGATTCACCTACAAACACAGTCTATAGAATTAATTAAGCAGCGTGCAGTCAAAACATGGGTGTGAAAGGTGTAAATTTTTGACGACGTCGAGATACCCGGAGCTGTCCGTGCGTGACGAGCGACCCTATCTGACAAACAGTTAGGTTCAGTGGAGCAGAAAATTGCCGATGTCGACATATACCAGGTAAATTTTGCTCTTGGGACTGTGAATATACGTCGAGATAACCAGGGTTGTCGAGATTACCGAGGTCGACATATCAGGGTTTTTGCAAATCATTTATATAGTAAATACTGCCGGGACCGCGGACGGACGTCGACATATCCCTGGTTGTCGACATATCCGAAGTCGAGATACCGAAGTTTACCTGTATCTCAGATTGTCGATAAATCTTCTTATTCAAAAGTTACAGCCATTTGCCCTTCAATGTTACCAATTTATTAGCCTAATTTAACATTTCCCTCAATAATTCCAAAACTAAGCTTGATATCAAAAATCTGAGATACGGTTTTGTGAACACACATTTGATAAGCAACCCATCCAATTTTCAGAGAAATTGGTCAATAAATAAGGGAGCTGAATCCTTTGACATAATACCACAAACTGTCTGATCTTACTTTACAGTAGAGGGCAAAAACCCATTACACAACAAAATCTGCCAAAGCTAGGAATATATGACACCTTGGAGATTCAGCTTTGGATACCTGTCACTTAGCCACATTTCCTATGCATATTCACAAGAATGGGAGGTTCTTTTCTGTATTTAGATGCTTTTAATTAAGTAAAATAGGTCCAATTCTGAATCAGAAAGATTTCCCGGCAAAATGGCAAGAGCTAAGCTCCACCTCCTATTTTATGGTCATCAGTGATCTGTTAGATCTTTTTCTCTAAATTTAGAGTCCCTGTAGTTTAATTACTGATAACCTCTGTGTGGCTAGTGAAGAATTCCCCAAGTGGTCACAGTGATTTATTGCGTTGTTCATGAGCAGGCAGTCACAGATCAAATCAGAAGCTTCAATAACGGAACATTCACATGTGGTAGTGTTTATGTTTCATTATTGTTAAATAATTAGAAAACCATTTCATAATTACCAAGAATTTTACATGCATTATAAAGCAGTGATTAACTTCTTTTTCTTAGCCAAAAATCTCAAAATTGTTGAAAATCTTGAAAAAAGCCTTTGGTGTATCCTTAATTCTTTGAAAATCTTTTTCTCTGCTCCTGGGTTTTATTTAAACAAACTAAGTATATAGTTATGATGAGTAAGAGTGCCTCTTCCAAAATTGTGAATTTCATGGCCCCAGGGTGAGGGGTTCTGGTGTTAGGGTGGGGCTCTATTGATTATATAGTGAAAATGCATTGATTCTTTGAAAATCTTCTTCTCTGCTATTGGAGACTATTTAAACAAACTAAGTGCATGGTTATGATGCATAAGGATGCCTTTTCCAAAATTGTGAATTTCATGGCCCCAGGGTCAGGGGTTCTGGTGTTAGGGCGGGGCTCTATTGATTATATAGTGAAAATGCATTGATTCTTTGAAAATCTTCTTCTCTGCTACTGGAGATTATTTAATCAAACTAAGTGCATGATTATGATAGACAAGGATGCCTCTTCCAAAATTTTTAAATATATCGCCTCAGTTTTTGGGGTTCTTGAGGGGGGGGGGGGGGGGGGGGCTCTATTGATTATATAGTGAAAAAGCATTAATTCTATTAATTAATCATTAATTAATCCTGTTGGCTCCTTAGTGTTGAGCTGATAAATAAATTGCTTAGCTATGATGAAAATGGGAGCTTCGAACAGAATTTTTAAATCT